AAAATATACTCATGGGTATAGACGGTTTCTGGAAAGATAGAAACCATGAGTAGTGTTTATCCCTTTAGAAATGGAACTCGAGGGAGGAGATACTTTCTTTTTCACTTTATATCCTTTTGTACTTTTGGAATTTCTTAATCAGTGGATGTGAAAAAGGTAAAAATTTTTTACAAGTAAATAATGATTTATTATTCTCATTTTTAAAGGTTTTAGTTTAAACCAACCTACATCATATAAGAGCAGCTAAATGCTAAAATTATTTAAATGCCTTTGAAATTTTTAAGCCAGTTGATGAACTGAAACTGGTATTTTTATCAGTCAAGTAAATTATTAAATAGTCCAGGTCAGGGAATTTTATCATCCACAAAAAGCTGCTATTTGTCATTTTTACAAGTCATGTTGTTATGACTACATTAGGTTCTTCCCAGTGAATAAGTTGCACAACATAGGGTTGTTGCTGGGAGAAAAACTGAAAAAAATGCCAGGGCTTTGTGGCATTTTTTGTCAAAGTCAAAAAGGTTAACAGCATTCCTAGAGTGCATTGTTAAGAAACTGTTGTTAAGACAATACTATTTTATTTTTGCTTTATTTTATTTTTTTTCTTTGACTCCTATTTAGGGTTTTTTTTTTTTTTTCTTGCATTGGGTACTGAAGTTTTATTTTAAAATTAGAAAACCAGTTGGTTAACTTTGGAGGGAATTTTATTAGATACACCTTCGTTGTTCTTTTGTGTAAAGGAACATACATAAAATTTAGAAGTCTTTGTAAGACTACACAATTAAAATCAGAAAATGTGTTTATCAGAATGATGAAGTAGCATCCCTGTTTGAAATAATTTAGAAAATGACTCTATATTAGTAATTAGTAGTGTTTCTTTATTTGATCAGAGTTTTAACTTAGTTGCAGTAGGATTAGACCAATTGTTTGTGACAGAAACTTAATAGCTTAATTTTTTTTCTATTAATAAAATCCTGTTTGTTGCTTATTGCGAAGTGGTTTATTGCTTTTAAGAAAATCTCTCGGTTATGAACTGTAGACTGAATTGCCCTAAAGCCATTGAGTAGTTGAGGTCTGAAAGTTGAGAAGGGTGTGTGTGTGCACTCTCCTATTTTTCCTGCCTCTGGGCAGGAAAAAAAGAGTACTTGTTTGTGAAAACAGTGTGAACTTAGTCAAGGAAATGCAAACCTGTTGGTTCTTGCTAACCTTTGGCTTCATTGTGACAGGAGCACAGGCTTTGTCTTGTCTCCTGTTGGGTGTGTACTTTATATATAGCAGTGTAGTTAGAGGGAAGGTAACATTTATATCTGCTTTCTTTAAAGTTCCAGAAAAAATAGAACTTTTAGTACAGTAGAATCCTGATGAATTTAGTTTGTCTGTTACTATAAAGTCAGCATTTAATAGTCTTATTAGGATTTTGAAGGTAGGTACTTGCTGAGAATTTAAGTTTAGTTAAATATTTACAGGATGGAATCAAGTCAGTGCAATCAAGCAGTTGGGTATGTGTATCAATAGCATAGAATAAGCCTTGTGAAATCTATGATTCACACTTTTTTAAAATTCACTCTCTTAATATCTGTCTTTTTTTTTTTTTCCCCCGAAGTGTGGTGTTTTTGCAAGGATTGCACTCAGGGGCAGTCAACCACTGAGCCATACCCCCAGCCCTATTTTGTATTTTATTTAGACACAGGGTCTCACTGAGTTGCTTGGTGCCTCATCATTGCTAAGGCTGACTCTAAACTCGAGATCCTCCTGACTCAGCCTCTCAAGCCACTTGGATTACACATGGGCCTGCACTTGGTTAATGGCCATCTTTGATTTATATTTTAACTCAAAACATCTGATGATAGTTTTTTCCCCCCCTGTACTGGGGGTGGAACCCAGGAATGCTCTTACCACTGAGCTACACCTCCACCCCCAGCCCTTTTTATTTTTTATTTTGAGACAGGATCTTACTAAATTCTAAAGACTGGCCTCATTTACCATTCTTCTGTCTCAGTCTCTCCAGTTGCTGGGATTATAGGCATGTGCTACTGCACCCAGCTCATAAATAGGTTTTATAAATCTTAATTTACATATTGCCTGACTTTTAGGATTGTTACAAGGATTATACATTATATAAGGCACCTGGGTTTCAGTAAATGCTAGTTGCAGTCATTATCAGCACTAACTTAAGGATAAATTCAAATTGGGCAGTTATGTTGTATGATTATTGCTTTACTAGAGAAAAGAACTTCATATGTAAAACAATTGAACTAAAAGCCCCATTCATTTACAGGCGCATTGTTTCCTCAATATGGGGGCTTAGAAAAGAGAAAGAATAGTGTGGGCCAGAGTTTTTGAAAGGACTGTGTGAAGGAACTAAGGTGAAGTAAACCCTTGACTGTAGGTTGTCTTCTATAGTTCACCAATGGAAGAGGTGTTACTAGAGATAATAGGAGCAACATTATAAGACCTGCTGTAATTTGGATCTTGAATGTCCTCCAAGACCCTTGTTGAAGGATTGGTTCCTAGCCATTGGTGCTGTTGGAAGCACAGCATGATATGGTGTAAGTGCCGGATATGGAGTCAGGCAGCCTGGGTTCAAATCCCAGCCTGAGCCAGGCACTATGGTACATGCCTGTAATCCCAGAAGTTTGGGAGGCTGAGACAGGAGGATCATGAGTTCAAAGCCAGGCTCAGAAAAAAGCGAGGCACACTAAGCAACTCAGTGAGACCCTGTCTGTAAATAAAATACAAAATAGGGCTGGGGATGTGGCTCAGTGGTCGGGTATCCCTGAGTTCAATCCCCAGTACCAAACAACAACAACAAAAAAAAAACAGCCTAATTCTTAGCTAGCAATATCCTGTGTAAGTTACTTGACCTACTCTGTGTGCCTCAGTTCTCTGTCAAATGGTCATAATTCACATCTCACAGATTTGTTATATAAGAGCTAAATGGTTACATGAGTTAATACGTGGCTGTAGTTGTAGATCAGTAGTAGAGTGCTTGCCTAATATGTGTGAGGCACTGGGTTGATCCTCAGCAACACATAAAAGTAAGTGAATAAAGGAATTTGTTTCTAAATTTAATACATGCATGCAAAGTGTTTAGAATGGCACCTGTCTAGAAGTAAGCAGCATATGTTTTATATATATATATATATATATATATATATTTTTTTTTTTTTTTTTTTTGATACTGGGTATTGAACCCAGGGGTACTCTACACTGATCTACATCCTCAGCCCTTTTTATTTTTTATTTTGAGACTGTGTCTTACTAAGTTGTTGAAACTGGCCTCTAAATTGTGATCCTCCTGCTTCAGCCCCCCAGGTGGCTAGGATTACAGGCACATGCCACCATGCCCAGTTTATATATTAGTTTTTACTGGGATTATTTTCTGTAAATCAAGAATTTCATATGAAAATGTGATTATCTATTCCATTGTTACCTTCTTAGTCACTTTGGTATTAATATGCTACTTATGTCCCCAAACCCTTTTGAGGGTATGTTGATTTTGGTCTTTTATAAATTTGCATTTGATTGGGATATCTAGATTCACATACTTTTACACAGTAAAATCAAATGAAATTAGAATTAGTTTGGAAAAAAGTTTTAATACCTTATTGTTGTGAAAATCACATGGTGGTTTTCAACTTCTGCCAAGGCTAAATAACACCTTTTAGTCTGATAATCACCCTCCCTTGTGTACAATGACTGGCTTTAACAAGACCCATGGCCTCAAAGACTGCTGACCATAGCAGGATAGGGTTCCATTTCTAGCCTCTGACTGTGGCCTATGACGAGAACAGAAAGGCCGTTGATGCTTTTTCAAGGACTGTGGAGGGATGTTTCAGTTAGTTATTTCTAGTTGTGTGATACTTAAGTGTTGCATTGTTGAGCCCTCAGCTGTTGAAGAAGGCAGGATACTGTTTCTGTTACAGCTGGCAGTAAACATATAATGTTGAAGCATAGAGTTTTGAGTCAGAACTTTATTCTGGTATTACCTTAGTCGTGGTATAAATTAGATTTCTTCTCACTGAATTAATTTTGAACTTGATTGTTTTTAATATTCATCTAAAAGATCATTATGTCTCAAGTTATTTAAATCAAGCTATACTTGTAAATAAGTATTTTGTGTTAAGTTTTGACTGTGAGAAACATAAATCAATAGTTTGAAAGACTTTAAGGCTAAAAAGGAGTTAAAAACGGATCTTATAGCTGAAAGTTAACCAGTTAGGTTTTTTTTTAATTTTTTATTTTGGTTGTAGATAGACACATACCTTTATTTTATTTATTTAATTTTATATGGTGCTGAGGATCGAACCCAGTGCCTCACACATGCCGGGCATACCACTAAGCCACAACCTCAGCCCCCTAGTTAGGTTTTTCCATGATGCATATCAGAAGAGAACACATTTCATAGGTCATTTTTTTTCTTTGTCATGTTTTTCTTTTTTAAAAGAAAAGCTGTTGAGCTTAACCATAGTTCATTCTTTTGGAATAAATATTTCATCATTTAGAAAACTCTAACTTTAGCTATACTTCTGTTTAATCAGCTCTGAAGTTTTAAATATGATGTTGGTGGTATTAATCATTTGTAAGTTATATGATTGGAAACATTGTCAGTGAAAAATGACACACACAAGTGGCATGTGCAGTCAAGCTTAAAATAGCTGCTCCTCACATCCATGCAAATTCCCTGGACTCCTTATATGACCTATTTATGCACACTTACAGAAAGCAAAACCTAAGCATCCATTCGGCTAAACTACTACATTTTTAAATGTTTTATTTATTGGTAGTTTTACTTTTTTTTCTTCATATTTTGTAAGTGCCCATGGCATTTGCCTTGATTAGGCTTTTAAAAAATTAATAGATTTGGCAGTCAGTTCCTTGTTAGATGGATCTTGTCAGTTCTTCAGAGTAAAAAAAATGCATGTCTCAGGCCTATCTATCCAAGATGTGCCCAGTTTTATTTTCTGTTTGACATGTCTTTTTTTCCCCCATCTCAAATATAGAGCTGCCAAATGCTGTTAAATCAACTGAGAGAAATCACAGGCATTCAAGATCCTTCCTTTCTTCATGAAGCTTTAAAGGTTGGTTTGTAGACCCCTTTTAGCCAACAGCCTTTAAAATAGTTGTCTGTATAATACTTGTGTCAGTTCAAGCTATCTTTATGCCAAAATAAAAATACATATAAGGGACAGAAATTGAACAGGTAAATGGCCCAGTTTCTTCAGTATGTTAATTGTAAAGAGATGGGGGACACTTTTGGAGAAACCCTACAAAGTCAAAGAGATTTAAGAGTCATATCAACAGTTACATTGTACAAACCTTATATAGGTCCTGATTGAAACCGGCAAACCAAATAATATTTGAGACAAGGAAATACCCCCCACCTCCATCCCCTCTGGTACTGGGGATTAAACCCAGGGCACTTAACCACTGAGCCAAATCCCTAGCCCTTTGTATTTTTTATTTTGAGACAGTGTTTCGCTAAATTGCTTAGGGCCTTGCTAATTTGCCAAGGCTGGGTTTGTACTTGCAATCCCCCTGTCTCATCCTCTGGAGTTGCTGGGATTACAAACTGATTATAGGCCTGCACCAAAGCACCTGACAGTACCATTACTCTTAGACTTTGTGGCCTGTATTTTTAAAAAGATGCAATCTAAAATGTTGACCAGTGAAATGATAAGATGCTTAGACTTTGCTTCAGAATGCCTGGGAAGGGGTAGGCAGTATAGATAAAACAAGATTGATCATGACTTGATAATTGTTGAAGCAAAGTGATGAGTACGTGTTTTTTCACTATACTGTGGTAAATTTTAGACATTTTTTCTTTTCTTTTTTTAAATCTTTTTTTTTGGTGGGGTTCTTTTTTTTTTTAACTGGGGGTCAAACCCAGGGCTTTGTGAATGCAAGGTAGATGCTTTGCCACTGAGCTACATTCCAGCCCTTAGAAGTTTTTTCTTTTTTTTTTTTTAATTGTTTTTATTTATAGATGGACACATTATCTTTATTTTTATTTATGTGGTGCTAAGGATCGAACCCGGGGCCTCATGCATGTGAGGCAAGCACTCTACCACTGAGCTACAACCCCCAGAAATTTTTTCTAATGGAAAATTCCAAACCCATATGTATACGTGTGTGCTATAAATAATTTGCATATACATATATGTCTGGGGGTGTACTGGACATTGAACCTAGGATTACCACTGAGCCATATACCCAATGCTTTTTATTTTTTTATTTTGCAACAGGGTTTTGTTAAGTTGCTTAGGGCCTCACTAAGTTGCTGAGGCTGGCCTTAAACTTGCAATCCTTCTATCTCAAAAACCAATATTATATCTATTATAAAATATGGTAACTGCTTATTATTTTAGAGGCTGACTCTTCAGAATCTCTGTTACTTGTCGGCTCTCATTTGACACATTGAACTTGAACTATTTTGTGAAATCAGGAATAATAAGATTTGAAACAAAGACAAATATACAGCAAGATTTTGCTTTTGTTTGCATGTTGTGGGAATCAGAGCATAGAAACTTAACTCCTGTAACTTGGGTGTTGATTATACCTTCAAGCAAATTAGACTCATTGTACTCTACCATACTTTTTCTCTTCTTTTTTTGTTGTCACTGAGGATTTAGCCCAGAGCATCCTACATGCTAAACAAACACTTTACTACTTAGCTACATTCCTCATTCTTTTTGAGACAGATCTCACTAAAATGCCCAGGGTGGTCTTGAACTTGTGATCCTCCTGCCTCAGCCTCTTACAGATTTGCACCACCACACCTGGCTCATATTTGCTTTGTCTACCTTATACCTAGAGTTACACCTAGACTTACTCATTGTCACCATGGTAGTAGGGAGGTATAACCCCAAAACTATCTTTCTACTTACCTTACACTTTGATTCTTTACTTTTGAAATGTTTTTTGTTTTTCTCCCCTTAGGCCAGTAATGGTGACATCACTCAGGCTGTCAGCCTGCTCACTGATGAGAGAGTTAAGGAGCCCAGTCAAGACACTGTTGCTACAGAACCATCTGAAGTAGAGGGGAGTGCTGCCAACAAAGAAGTATTAGCAAGTAGGTCTCTCTTTCTATGAATTTGCACAAAATTTGTGTGTATGAGTTCTCTACAAAGCCTATCAACCCTTTGAATAGCTAACTCTTGAGTCATTGCTATGTAGCAGGCATAATTGTGAGCTTAAAATTTTTTAAAAAATATTTATTTTTTAGTTGTAGTTGGACACAATACCTTTATTTCACTTTTTTTTTTTTTGGTGCTGAGGATTGAACCTGGGCCGCACGCTTGCCAGGCGAGCGTGCTACCACTTGAGCCACATCCCCAGCCCTTTATTTCACTTATTTATTTTCATGTGGTGATGAGGATCGATCCCAGGGTCCTGCACGTGCCAGGCGAGCACTCTACCGCTGAGCCACAACCCCAGCCCCTAAAATTTTTTTTGAATTCATTCATTATTTAGTACTTAATCAGTGAGCACTAGCTATGTGCGAGACACTCTGGTGGTCCTGGGGATTAAGTCCACAAGAAGGCCAAGCTGAGGCTGAGTGAGTTGGGAGGGCACTAAGAACTGTGGAGTATCCAAATGTGGTGGTGCACACCTGTAATCCCAGCAATTCTGGAGGCTGAGGCAGGAGGATCCCGAGTTTGAGCCCAGCCTTAGCAATTTAGCCAGGCCCTAAGCAACTTAATGAGACTCTGTCTCAAAATAAAAAATACTAGGGATCTAGATTAGTGGTAAAGCACCCCTGAGTTCAGTCCCCACTATAAAAAGAACAATGGAGGAACTGGAGGTGAGTCATGTGCATCCTTTGTAAGTGCTGGCTGATACTCCCAGTTAAGTGGACAGCCCTTGAGAGTTTAGAACAAAGAGTGAGGTGAGCTGGTTTCCATTTTCTAGAGGCCATTCTGACTGCAGTGTTAAGAACAGAATGTGGAGGAGAGGGTAGTAAGGAGCCATAAGTCAGGTCAGAGAGCCCAGGACCATTCGGGAGGCTGTTCAGGTGATGGAGGCTTGGGCCAGCAGGCAGTTGTGGATGGGTGAGAAGTGCTTGCATTCTAACAGCTGTCTGGTGCTTTTTAGATAAAATCCATAGAATTTGCTTACTGCAGAGATAAGGATTGTGAGAGAAAGGTTTTTTTGTTTTTTGTTTTTTTCCTGAGCATCACTGAAAAGATAGAGCTGCACTTATCTAAGAGGGATAATCACTGGTGAAGCAGGTTTAGGACGAAGATGAAGGGATCACTTTTGATAATACTAAGTTTGAAATACCTGATATTCAGATGGAGATGTCCAGAAAGTAAGGAGACCCAGGTGTGAAGTTCAGGGGAGAGATCCTGACTAGAGCTAGGTAAGCATGGAATCAGGAAATGCTATGTAAAGGTGTGTGATTAATGAGCCAAGTCTCCAAGGAAGTGGTGTAGAAAAGGTAAAAAGTTCAGCAGTTGAATGTTCCCAGTCTAGGGAGGTGATGAGTATTGAGGGAAAACCTGGAGGGTGTACTCTGAAAGCCAAGGAGGCTTCTGGGAAGAAGGAACCACCAGTTGAGTCAGATGGTGTAAGTGGACATTTGGCCTGTTTGAAATTTTGAGCTATTCTGAATAATGCTGCTGTGTGTATGTGTGGATATATATATGTACATCTATATATGTATGTATGTGTATATATGCATATAATAATTTTCTTTTTTTTTTAAAGAGAGGAGGAGAGAGAGAGAGAGAGAATTTTAATATTTATTTTTTAGTTTTCGGCAGACACAACATCTTTGTTTGTATGTGGTGCTGAGGATCGAACCCGGGCCGCACGCGTGCCAGGCGAGCGCACTACCGCTTGAGCCACATCCCCAGCCCTACATATAATAATTTTCAACTCACAGCATATATTACGTATAATATCTATAACATATAATACGTATGTGTATACAAAACGTATTTTTTGGTGGTACGGGGCATTGAACCCAGGGTTACTTTGCCACTAAGCTGTGTCTTTAGCTCTTTTTATTTATTATTTTGAGACAGGATCTTCCTAAGTTGTCCAGGCTAGCCTTAAACTGTAAACCTGTACACTCAGAAAAATGAGAAATTATACCCCATCTGATTCAAATGTATGATATGTCAAGATCATTGTACTATCATGTGTAACTAATTAAAACAAATAAAAAAATTTTAAAAAAATGTGAAACTCCATACCAATTAAACAACCTCTTTCCTTCCTCCTCCTAGCCTCTGATAACCCCATTCTTTTTTTATTTTCTTTGTTCTTTTTCTTTCTTTTGGGTCCTGGGGATTGAACCCAGGGGTGCTTAACCACTAAGCTCCACATCCCAGCCCTCGCTATTGTTTATTTTGAGACAGGGTCTCTCCAAGATGCTGAGGCTGACCTCAAATGTGCATTTGTACCTTTTCAGGGACATGTTTTGCAAAAATTTCTCCTGTGGGTTGACTGCACTTTCTTCATGGTGTCCTTTGAAGCCTAAAGGTTTTATTTTTTATTTTTAATTTTCTTTAAATTTTTTGTATTGAACCCAGAGCTTTGCGCATGCTAGGCGGGCGCTCCACCACTGAGTCACTCCCCAGCCCCCAAAAGTTTTTTATGTTTTTATTGGGCCTGGGGATTGAACCCAGGGCCTTGTGCATGCTAGGCAAGCACTCTCCAACAAGCATATGCCATCATGCCTGGCATTTTTTTTTAATTAGAGCATTATATTATACATAATAAGTTCATTTGGACAAAATCATACATGCATGGAATTTGATTTACTCCATTTTAGTCCTCAGTGTGCCCAAGTTCCCTTTCCCTCTTCCCTTCTGCTACTTTACTGATGATCTTTATGTTTATTGTATGCCAGGTAGCATGATCTTTTGTGTTTGTGTGTGTGTGTGTGTGGGGTACTGACCTATATCCCCAGCCCCCTTTTTTTGTGAGACAGGGCCTCACTGAGTTGTCCAGGCTGGCCTTGAACTTGTGAACTTTCTTCGTTAAGAAGCTGGGATACAGGTGTGCACCACTGTGCCTGGCACAGTTTTGATTAGTGCAGTTTTGTGTATCTATATGTACTGTCTTTCATTTTAGATTAAATGTTCTTCATTGCTGGTGTATAGAAATTAATTTAACCTTTTATACATTGGTCTGTTATTCACCTATTTTTTGTGGTGCTGGGGATTAAACCTAAAGTATTGTTCATGACAGGTAACCACTCTACCACTGAGCTAAATTTAGTCACTAATTAGAACTATTTTTTATAGATAATTTTGGGTTTCCCTTGTAGATTATTATCATCTGTGAATGATTATTGCTTTGCTTATTATCCAGTATGTATGTATGTATGTATTTAGTTAGTTAGTTAAGATGTCTCACTACATTGTTTAAGACTGGTCTTAAACTCCTTATCTCAAAGCAGTCCCATTTCAGATTCCTAAATAGCTGGAATTACAGGTATGTGCCACTGCACTTGGTTCAGTCTCTAAGTTCCTTTTGTACTAGTTAGGACTTCTAAAGCCATGATAAAAAGTGCCATAACAGATGAGCATGCTTGGGTGCACCCCTATACTTCCAGGATTACAAGTTCAAGGCCAGCCTCAGCAACTTAGTGAGGCCTAAATAACTTAACAAGACACTATCTCAAATTAAAAAATGAAAAGGGCTCAGGATGTAGCTCAGTGGTAAAGTATACTGGATTCAATCCCTGATCCCACGAAAAAGGAGTGATAATCGAATTATTGAATTCTGTTTCTAATATTTTGGTTTTTTTGTCTCTGTGGTCATTTATGAGTTTGTAATTTTTTTTCTTACTGTTGTTGACAGGTTTTTATGTGTATACTATTATGCTAACTTCCTAAAATGAGTTGAATATTTTTTCCATTCTGAATAGTTAGTATGAATTGAAATAGTGTGACATTGAAAATCTTTTCCTTGAATGTTTTATATTTATTGAATTTTTTATGATGATAAATAGAGACTATGTGTTTAACTTACAGGTGTGGGATTTATTTCTCACTATGTGGAAAGACACTTTAGAAGAGGGTATTTGATTCCTACATTTTAATAGCTTATTTCTGTACTGTTGGCTAGTGTAAGGTTACAGTGTAGCATTTAAGTTATTCATTTGACTCTGGACAGAGTAATGAAATTGTTCTTACACAGATGAGCCATTGTAGGGACAGCTAGAGAGTATATCTGTTTGGGGAGTGTTTTTACCTTTTTTTTTTTTTTTAATACTGCAGACAGAAGGGCAGTTTTCTGAGTAGTGTGGACTAATTAAATTTCTATTTATTTTATAGAAGTGATAGACCTTACTCATGATAACAAAGATGATCTTCAGGCTGCCATTGCTTTGAGTCTGCTGGAGTCCCCGAAAATTCAAGCGGATGAAAGAGAGCTTAACAGGTTATTGCTTTAATTTATATTCTATGCTCCCCACATTTATGTGTAGGTCAGAGGCAAACAGCTCTGTGCGTGCCACTCAGGAATAATTCCACCAAATTCCTTTAATGGCACTTGAGTCAAATTGCTTTTAGGAGAAGCAGTGCACATTAGCGTGCTTTACCGTTTGGTTTACATTTAAAACCAAATGTGAGGAGGGTTTTTATACTCCAGTTGAAAGTTATCAGCCGTATGTCATGGTGCACACCTGTAATCCTAGGTGCTTAGGAGGTTGAAGCAGAAGAATCACAAATTCGAGGCAACCTCAGCAATTTAGTAAGACCCTGTCTCAAACAAAAGAAAGAAAAGAAATAAATGAAACTTAGTACTCAACTATCCTGCTTCAGAAGTGACTGGGGTATATATTGTGTGAATTGGTATTAATTTGATGATTGCTTGGTGCTGTTTACAGACATCCTTTTCCAGTGGTGGACTGTCATTTCTGAACATGCTTACCTTCTTGCACTGCTGAGTTGTTTCTTTCAGAGAAACATACCGCAGGGTGTTGTGTGCTGGGCAGTTTGGTGGCTCTTAGCTGTACCACACTTCTCTCTTTCCTCTTTCAATGGCAAGCACTTAGGGTGCTGTGATTAAAATGGAAAACGTTTAATAGTAACCATATGGTCCTTATTAGTCATAGTCCCTGTGATGGAAGGATTGAAGTTTCTGTTTAATCCTTGCTTTTCACCTACATTTTGTAGTTCCCATAGATACTATATAGCTGATAATTACCCAATAAGTAATTTTTCGGGCATTTTGAATGATTTATGAAAGGTCACCAGCATCCTCCATATACTATATTATTCTTTTAAGTATTTTCTTTTTTGATGTGTGGTATGTTGACACAATATAGGATGCATGAGGCAATCTCTGCAGAAATTAAACGCTCAAAGAGAAAACGCTGTGAAGTCTGGGGAGAAAACCCCAATCCCAATGACTGGAGGAGAGCTGATGGTTGGCCAGTTGGGCTGAAAAATGTTGGCAATACATGCTGGTTCAGTGCTGTCATTCAGGTATGATATTTTTAGAAGACAGCTGTGTCTTCTGGCAATACTTTTATGATTTATTAAACTGAAATGTGAGATATAACTTGAAAAAAAAATTAAAGCAGGTATGTAAAACTGGATAGTTTTTCCTGTGTTATTATTGTGTTTTGGTTGCTTTCATGTGTTTTGAATTTAGATGCTCTAAGTCTAAACTGGGCAATACTAAAAATGAAATCTAACCAGGAATGGTGCTACACACCTGTAATCCGAGCAACTGGGAAGTCTGAGGCAGGAGGATCATAGGTTTGGGGGCAGTCTGGGCAACTTATTGAGACACTTGTCTCAAAATCTTAAAAGGGCATGTAGCTATAGGTCAGTGGTAAAGCACCCTTAGGATCAGTTCAAACTTTGGAAAAAAATAAAAATAACAAGAAAGAAAAAAATGGTTGAACATGTATTGAATAAGTGTTTTGGGTCAGTAATAAGTGGCTACTGTATTACAGCAGAGTGAGCATAAACAAGGAGAAATAAGTTATTGAGAGGCTGTCTTGGGTAACCAGAGAGGAGATGAAGGCAGATTAGAGAAGGGAACTGGCAGAAGTTGTGAGAGAATTGAAGTAAAACATCTTTGAAGTGGTCATATCTGTATGCTTTGGTGAGCAATATCTGGAAGAGAGAGTTGGGTTTCTAGCTTGAGTAAGCCAGTGGATAAATAGTGCCATTTGACACTAGAGGAGAAATGATTTGTGTGTTAAGAGTGGATTTCAGGGCTGGGGATATAGCTCAGTTGGTACAGTGCTTGCCTAACATGCACAAGGCCTTGGGTTCAATCCCTAGCACCACACACACACACACACACACAAAAAAAAAAAGTGAATTTCAGTTTTGGTTTAGACATGCTGAGTTTGAGGTATTCCTGTAAGACATCCATAGGGAGATACCATGTTGGCAGTTAACTGTGAACTCTAGTTGAGAAAAAAACTGTAGGTTGCAGATAGAGTTTTGGGAATCAATGCCTTATAGATTATAGTAAAACCAAGGGAGTAGATGCATGCACCTAGAGAGTAGAGGCTCTTCAGAAGTATCTCATGGTCATATTAAACTTAACATAGCTACTCCTGATACCTGTCTGCAGTTGTCTCCATCATGGTACATGGTATCTATCTAGCTGCTCAAGTCAGAAAAATAGAATCTTTTTGTTTTGCTTTTACATAGTACATTTTTCTTACAGTACACCTAGCCTTGTTTTAGGCACTGAGGAAATAACATTGAATAAAACAATAGTCCCTACTCTTATGGAGTTTACTTTTAAAAGAGTGGGACTCCAGGCTGGGAATATAGCTCAGTTGGTAGAGTACTTCTCTCACATGTGCAAGGCCATGGGTTCAATCCCCAACAACACAATCAATCAATCAATTTCTTTAAGGGGGGAAAAAAAGAGTGGGACCGCCCCCCTCCCCCAAAAAAAGAGTTGGAAGTTGTGTGTGGTGGCACATGCCTGTAATCTTAGCAAATGAGGCAGGAGAATCATAGGTTTGAGGCCACCCTCAAAAATCTAGCAAGACTATCTCAAAAAATAAAAGGACTGGTGATGTAACTTAGTGGTAGAGTGCCCCTGCGTTCAATTCCCAGTACTACAAAATAAATAAAAATTTAAAAAGTGAGGATGTGGGGATATACCTCAATGGCAGAGCACTTGCCTAGCATGCGCCAAACTCTGGGTTCAATCCCTAGTACTGCAGAAACAAAAAACAGCAAGAGACCACAAATAAAGCATGTGTGAAATGGTTTTAAGTGCTATAAAGACACAGGATGAGGTGAGGGTTTGAGAGAAGGTTCAGATACCAGGGAAGAGGTACTGTTTAAGTGGAGTGGACAGGGATGGCTTTTCTGTTTGGATGGGTGTTTGAGTAGTAGTCTGAAGGTGGTGGGGGAATGGGCTGCTTACCTAAAGAACATTCACATGGAGGGTACAGCAAGTAAAGTAACACAGGCTCAGGGGCTTGTTTAACATGTGAGGAAGAGCTAGAACTGGTGGTTAGTAGAGGAAGTAATGAGGTCAGGAAGCGGGGCAGTCAGGAGCTTGGGATCATGAGGAGGACTTGAGAATTGTGTATGAGATGGGAAAGTTTTGGAAGGCTGACATAGAGGACTGATACAAACCTATTTCTGCTTTAAAAGGATCATGGGCATCTGTGTTGAGAATAGACTGCCCAAATATAATGTGAAATTAGGAACATCGGTGAGTTCTTGTGGAGGGGGGCAGTGAGGGAGAGACTAACTAACCAACTCTACCAACTGAGCTATATCCCCAGCCTGGAGTCAGCCTTCACTCCTGTGAGAAATATTAAAAAGAGCCAGTAGACACAGGGGATAACAGAGTAAGGCTTCTAAGAAAGCATGAGAGCTCCAAGATTGAGAGTAGACAGGAAAAGATTGTTCTTACAATGGATTAGGTCAAGGGAGTAATAGGGGAAGGAAGAAGGAAGAAAGATGTCTACAAATTAAATTGAATTAAAGTAGTTTATATTAAATTTATTCATGTGTGAAATGGCTTGTATGTGGCAGGGTTGGTGCAGAGGTACTAGAAAATGAACCCAGGGATGCTTCACCACTGAGTAACAGACCCTGCCTTTTTTATTTTAACATAGGTTCTAAGTTGCTGAGGCTCACCTGGAATTTGCAGTCCTCCTGTCTTAGCTTCCTGAACGGCTGGGGTTGCAGGCATACTGCACTGTGTCCTATCATGGTCAGATTTTAAAAGGAGTGAAAATTTGAAATAGTTGTTGGAGATGATGTGAAAACCAGTTGGCACTAGAGTACAATATGGATTGAGTATCCCTAATCCAAAAATTCAAAATCCAAAATTCAAAACTTTTTGAGCATTTCAGGACATTTTAGATTGCAGATTTTGGGATTGTAGATCCTTCAGCCTACAAAGTCTGCAGATATTCCAGAATTCAGAAAACCTAAAAATCTGGAACACTTCTGATCCCAGGCATAATTGATACTCAGCCTGTGGTAGAATTTTAAGAAATTTGAGAGTTTGTTTGAAGTTGTTGACTTTAAACAAACAGTGATATCACTGTGTCCTATTTTTATCAGGATTTTGCCTTAGCAACACTACGAAGCTTTTAAGTGGAAAATTCAATTCATTTAGGTTGAAGGATTTACTGGGTGCCTGATGAAAGGACTGTGGTGGGCCAGTCTGAGAATTTAATGAAGTTATTAAAAAGCATGGGATCAAAGTTAGATTGAGGGAGAAATAAAGACACTAAATAAAGAACTAATGGTTAAGGAGCAAGGACAAGATCAGTTTGCATGGATCCCTAGTAAAAGCAAGGAATAGGTGTCCTGTGGGTAATTGAACAAATGAGTAAGAAGATGCGTTGTGGACGGAGAGTTTTGGGGATTTTCTGAATATCTGATCTAAGAATTGCACATTTTCAGATGTTGACATATCCTGGTGTGTGGCCTTGAATGTGGAAGTAAAACTGGAGTGGAGGAATATGTCCCTATTGATAAGATTCTCATGAAACCTAGAGATCTCTGGGCTGTGTGAATGTACATGATTTCCCTTCACAAATAGTAGAACATCCTACCTTATGTCTAGCACTATTCTAGGCTCTTAAGATAATAGGAAGGAAACAAAATAAAAAATAGTTGTGCCTTTATTGAATTTCAATTCTCATGAGGTAAGATGAACAGACTAAAAAGTAGCCGAATGATCAACTAGTTAAATAAATGCCTATAATGTGTTAGATTGTGGCTGGTGCAATAGAAGAGCAGAATAAAGGAGATTGGAATTGTTGCAGAAGAGGAAGGAAAAATAGTAACTTGTTAGGTAGGTCTCACTGAGGGGATGAGATTGGAGCCAATGCTAGATACATAGGAGGTGAGGGAGAGAGTCATGTGTGATCAGGAGAAAAACATTCCAGGTAAGGGAATCCATACAGCAATAGCCCTAAGGTGGAAGTGGGCTTGGTGTGTTCATGCAACATCCAAGAATCCCAAGTTACTGGATGCTAAGAACAAAGGGGTGAATCTTACCAGATGATATATGGTAAGATAGGAAGGTCCTGAACAGAAGAGTGGTTAACTCTGACCCAAGTGTTGAAAGACCTACTCTGGCTACTGTGGTGAGAGCAGAGTGAAGTCAGCAAGGATGCTAGGACAGAGATCCATTGCATTCCTCCATTGAGAGGTAATGATAGCATGGATCAGGCTAGCAGCCATGGAATTAGAAAATGGCTTGGATTATTGGTATATCATCTAAAGGCAGGGCTTCAGATGTCCCCATGGAGTGGATATTGACTGAAGTTGCCTAGGAAAATGCAGGACTTGGAGTAACAAGGAGAACTGTTACCAGATGTCAGTCTTCAGTAAATCAACTTAATTTTTGTCATTAGAGGTAATCAGAGGAATCTATGTGGCATTGAGTTGGTGGAGGGGAAGTTCTAGAGGCAGACTACACAGATTCAGGTGAGCAGCCATGGGGTTTCATTAGAAGTGGTTATAAATAGTATCCTAAGGTAGAGTCCAGCGGCCTTGGGACTTATTGGATGTGAATGCTTAAGAAAAGACAAAGAATCAAAGACTGGAGGAGGAGAAGAATGTAAATGATGCAAAAAACACAGGAGAGTAAACCGATGTTGGAGAGAGAACTGTATTGATAATGGGTCATATTAGCTCATAGTTTTGTGGGTTTTTAAAGAGTAGTGATGATGTGGAACCATGTGGCCTATGGATAAGGCATCAGACTTCAGATCAGAAAATTGATGGTTCAAATCTCTTAGTAGTTTGGAGCAGTAGAAGTTTGGAGTGGTCATTTAGCTGAGCTTGGTGGTACATGCCTGTAATCTCCGTGACTAGGGAGGCTGAATCAGGAGAATCTCAAGTTTCAGGCCAACCTGGGCAACTTAATGAGACTCTGTATCAAAATAAAAATTTTTAAACAAAGGGCTGGGGATGTAGCTTTATGGTAAAATTCCCCAGAGTTTTAGCCCCAGTACTGAAAAGAGGGGGTTGGGGGAGACAGTGGGGAATAATGATAGCCTCTTTAGGGAAAGCCAGATATTGGTGATGATGATGAGGTAGAGTGAGGTAGCTGAGACTGTAAAGCCATTTTCCTCATGTAGAACAGAAACTCTGGTGAGTGTGGTAGGGTTGCTGGCACAGTAGGGATATATACAATAGGGATGGAGATGTGTGTGTGGAGGGTGAGGTGGAAAGAAGAGAGAAACAGCGTGGTGAGGCTAGCTAGAACCACACAGCTGGCCTGGCCCCAGGTGGAACTGTGCTGGAGCAGCAGGGCTCAAATGTGCCTGCATTATTTTGGCTGCCGCCCATGAGGATGGTAAGAGGGTGAGGGCAGACAGAGAGCTAGTTGGTGAGCTCCAGTTAGATGTGCAGTTTTGATTCTTTGTCTGACATTAGGAAGCACACCTGAGGTTTTGGCATACTGAAAAATATCTTATTTAGTTCTGATTCCAAAGTTTCCTTACTATCTGCCAGGATGCTGCTTCAAGAGTTTCAGTGTTGCAGGCTGGAGGGGTTTTCATTTTAAGAGTATGCTGGAGTTAGAGATTACATTCACACAAGGGAATTTTTAAAATTAACTTAAAAAAATAGAAGAATATGTGATTTACAAATAATAAAAAGAGAATTCCTTTCCTCAGTCCTGTCAGCCAGACATGTCTAATGTTAAACTTTAAAAAATATTAATATTCTTAACAAAGCAGAAAGTAGCAAATTCTGCTGTACTCATCACCCTACTGTAGAGATGAGTATTATAGATCCCTGTGTTATTGAGTCCCAATTGCCACAACCTCCCTCCCTCACAGACATAACCATGCATGTATGTAGCCACAAAAAATATATAGTATTGTTTTTGGTTTTTGTTTTTAATTTTTTTTTCAGTTGTAGATGGACACAATACCTTTATTTTATTTTTATGTGGTGCTGGCAATTGAACCCAGTTCCTCACACATGCTAGGCAAGCGCTCTACCCCTGAGCCACAAGTCCAGCCCCTATAGTATTGTTTTGTGTAATTAAACTTCACATAAGCAGTATTATACATTTTTCTGTTACTCTTTCACACAAAATATATTTCTGAGATTTATCCATGTTGATACACATAGCTCTTGTTCATTAGTTTTACTGCTGTATAGTCCATTTCATGAAAACAATTTTCTAAATGTTTATTTATTTTGGTGCTGGGGGTTGAACCTAGGGGCACCCCTGAATTATAGCTCCAGTCCCCCCAACTTTTTTTAAAATTTTTTATTCTGAGACAGGGTCTCATTAAGTAGCTAAGGGCCTCAAACTTGCAATCCTCCTATTTCAGCCTCCTGAGCTTCTGGGATTAACAAGTATGTGCCACTGTGGTCAGCTTCTACAGTTTTTTGCTTTTTTTTGGTGTGTGTGTGTGTGTGTGTGTGTGTGTGTGTTACTAGGAATTAAACCCAGGGATGCTTAGCCACTGAGCCACATCCCCAGCTCTCTTTTTTATTTTATCTAGAAACAGAGTCTTGCTGAGTTGACCCAAGGCTTCGCTAAATTGCTGAGGCTGGCTTTGACCTTGCCATCTTGCTGCCTCAGCCTCCTGAGCCACTGGGATTATAGGTGGGCACCACCATGCCCAGTACTACAATATTTTAATGACTACTTAATCATTTGTTGTATAAATGTAGTATAATTTATTTAATCTATTCCTCCTTATAGGCCTTAGGTTGTTTCTATATTTTTTTTAACCTTTAAGGGTTAACATTCTTGTTAATTTTTGTGTATATTCTATTATTTCCTTAGAAATAACAGAATAAGATTTGTTAGGTTGACACTTATACATAGTTTTATATATGAAAGTTTTATAAATGAAAGAAATAGGTGTATTTTATTTATATATTTATTTTTGCAGCAGTTATTTTGATTTTTTGGTGGGGGGTACAAAGGGGCTACCGGGAATTAAACTCAGGGGCACTTGACCACTGAATCACATCCCCAGCCCAAGTTTTTTTTCTTTTAAGCTGTAGATGGACACAATATCTTTATTTTATTTATTTATTTTTATGTGCTGCTGAGGATCAAACCCAGTGCCTTACACTTGCTAGGCAAGTGCTCTACCACTGAGATACAACTCCAGCCCTCCCCAGTCCTATTTTGTATTTTATTTAGATACAGGGTCTCACCGAGTTGCTTAGTGCCTCACTTTTTGCTGAGGCTGGCTTTAAACTTGCAATCCTTCTGCCTCAGCCTTCTGAGACGCTGGGATTACAGATATGCACCTCCGTGCCTGGCTGCAGCAGTTATTTTGAATGAAAGGCTATGGATTCATTTCCTTCTTTCTTTTAGTCTCTCTTTCAGTTGCCTGAATTTCGAAGACTTGTTCTCAGCTATAATCTTCCACAAAATGTTCTTGAAAAATGCCGAAGCCACACGGTAAGCTTCTCCTGAGGAGTTTCCTTATCTCATTTAGCTCCTTTCATCCTAAAGCCTTTTAAATTTTTGACTAAAGATGATGACCATAATTCTCTTTGGCTCTTGCTAATATTTGTTTTCATTTCTAAGTGACTGTTTTCCTTATTTGTAATAAGAAATAAGGATTTGCAAAAATAGTAAATTAAGTAGGAATGAAGTTAGAAACACTTCCAGGAAAGTGTGGTAAGCCACCTGCTAGCCTCAGCAGTGCTTCCTGGGATGGGGACACTCAGAACACCTATTTTATGTGTAGTGTCCTTCCCTCTGCCATTGACTGCTCAGGTCAAACAATGCAGAATAGACAACCCAGTGAAGAGGCTTGGACCTTCTTAGAAGAGATTTTAGTCTGCTCTTGCCATAGGGCGTAGTCTCCTCCCAGCCATTTAAACCTTGCCTGGATTTCTCCTTAGTGTAATCCAGTCTTCTGACAGAGGGAAAGCAGAAGCTTCAGAAAATGGATGTATCTGTCTTTCCAACAATATTATCTCTTTGGCTTCTATATGATTATTCTTCAGTTTCGAGTTAAACCTGTAGGCAAGTCCTTATTAGAATCTCTGTGACGTAGTTTGAGGCCTGAGACTCTGACCTAGAACTAGGTAAATACGAATTAGAGGTTATTTAGAACTCTTTTCTTTATATTTTTTAATTTTCCAAGAAAGATACATATGGCTGTATTTTCTGTAGGAAAAGAGAAATATCGTCTTTATGCAAGAGCTTCAGTATTTGTTTGCTCTGATGATGGGATCAAATCGAAAATTTGTAGACCCTTCTGCTGCCCTGGATCTGCTAAAGGGAGCATTCCGATCCTCAGAGGAACAACAGGTACTAACTAGGAACCTTGTTCTCATTTTGTCTGAAGATCTCCAGTTAGAAGTCATGTCATATTACTGTTACCATGACATTGCTTATTTCAAATGTGTGACAAGTTGTGAACATGACTAAGCAGCACTATGGGTGCTAGTTTTTGTATTTATTTTGCTCACAGAACAGGTGGTAAGAATGCACCTGGGAGACAGAAAGATGAAGAGAATGTGTTTTATGTAGGGGGTTGTTTGCAGTTCTTAAGGGAAAAAGAAGTAAAAAAAAGAATAGTAGATTTACTCAGAGATTGAAGCAAAAAGAAGGAGGTTGAAAAATATCTAAAAGTGAGCGATAGCAAAGGGTGACTGAGAAAAGTGACCCTGTACCTTTGTTTTAGGATGCCCCAGATAGAAATGCTATTTTTAAAATCATCTACACCTGAGGTTAGTAGCTTTTCTGAGCACTCTTTTTTTTTAAGATATTAATATTTTCCTTTCACACCTCCTAATAAAAAGCAGAACTGTCACTATTTGATCAGCTTCTTCGTCACATACATTTAAAAACTTTTTTTCCTGCAGCTACATAGCATTCTCAAAACATTGTATAAAAGTTGCCTTTCTCTGTTCCAATCTCACATTGTTCTGGAATACTACAGTCTGTTCTTTGAGCCTTTAAAAAAAAGCCTAGTTAGAAGATTTCTTTTGTTTTTTCTTTGTCAAAATCAGATGCCGCTGGAAGTGGTAGAATTCCAGTATCCTAGGCACAGTTTAGTCAGAGGTTGCTTCATGCATCTTCTGTTTTGTCTCTGGTCGCTGGGTTCTCCTTATTTCTATATTTTTGTGACATTTGGCCCTAAAAAATAAATGCCTTCCTAGTAGTAGAATCTTAATTCATTGGGGGGATTAAGGGCAAGCTTTCATTTCCCTAAGTATACTGTTGCATCTAACGCTTATGCAATTTGTGCCTCTCTTATAGCAAGATGTGAGTGAATTCACACACAAGCTCCTGGATTGGTTGGAGGACGCATTCCAGCTGGCTGTTAATGTTAAGTGAGTGTTGAGGGTCTGTACATCCTTCCAACTCACAGTGGCCACTGAGAATACTGATATGGGGGAAAAATCATTCTTTTCAAGTAGAAATCGCTGCTGTTGTTTTGTTTTTGTTTTTACCAAGCCTCGTAGGATAACCGCTGAACTTTTTCTTACGTATCCCTATCGCTTAGGCTTTCCTCCTCTGTGAATATAGACAATCCCATTAACCTACAACTTTTTTACTAAAGGGCCCTAACTGATACCTTTTATAGGCACAGTTATAACCTGTGCCTATAAAATGTATCTCAAAAAAGGTAAACCATGCTGCATAGGAGCTCATTCTTACTCTATACTACTTCTGTACTTTGTATACATCTGTCGTTGAACATAGGTACAGATATATATGTGTGTATACATATGTATACACACACACACACATAGTGCATACAAATACATATATTTGTCTGCATGTGTGACTCCCTTAATAGACTTTTTTAAAGCTCCTTAAGGCCAGGGATCGTGCCTTATTGTCTTTGTGTCTTCAGTGCAGTGCCAAGCATATTGTTCAATAAATGTTTCAGCTGAGCTAATTCATTATTTATTGTAGAATATACCTGGGCTGGTTCTTTGTGATTGATAAAAATGCACTACTTTTGTTTTTGAATGATGCTTGGGTTTTATGTAGCACAATAATTCAGAATTGTCTTCCTTTTTAAAAAGCAGCAACCCTAGGAACAAATCTGAAAATCCCATGGTGCAGCTATTCTATGGTACTTTCCTGACTGAAGGGGTTCGTGAAGGTAAATTTTCTGCCTCAGATGTTAATTCTAGACCTGTTACCATATCCTTATAATTCTGTCCTCTTAATGAGGTAGTGTAATAAATAGACTTGAAAGTCAGAGAAACCTAGGTCTGCATATTGGTTTTGCCTCTTAGTGTCTATGGAATTATGGAATTATGTGAGCTCCTGGTTCCTCAATCTCTTTAACTGTAAAGCGGGCACAATCCTTATAGTTGTTATATTAAATTGTTTAATATTTGCACAGTCCAATTTAGCATTAATATCAGATGCACAGTGATCTTAATTCCATTTTCTCTGTTGATATTTCTGATATAATATTTAATCTCAAAAAGTTATATTACGTTAAACTTCCAGAAATACTCATCAACTCTGGAGGCTTGCCTGCTGCATGCTGGACACATAATGTTTATTCTTTTTTTTTTTTTTAACCAGGGAGAACTTTAAAGGCATACAAATAGAGCAGTATCAAAAAGCCCCTTGAATTCAATAGCTGCATTAGCCCACAGCTAGTCATTCTACATCTAACCCCGTTCTACTTTTACTCTGATAGTCTTTTTATTTTTAAATCAATCAGTCAATCAATCTATTTATTTGGAATTGAACCCAGAAACTTTATGCTTGGTAAGTGTGCACTCAGTCACTGAGTTACCTCTAGCCCTTGATAATGTTTTAAAATAGAACCCATTTACTTCTCCCAAAAGTAGCATTTTAAAAAATATCAGATATCTAGTCAGTATTTAAATTCCCAATTCATTCATTTATTGATTGATTGTGGTACTGGGGATTGAACTAAGACACTCTACCACTGAGCTGTACCCCCTACCCCTTTTTATTTTTTAATTTTATTTTGGGAAGTCAGTACTGGGAATTTAACTCAGGGGGCACTCAACCCCTGAGCCACATCCCCAGCTCTGTTTTGTATTTTAATTAGAAACTAGTCTCACTGAGTTCCTTGGTGCCTTGTAATTGCTGAGGCTGGCTTTGAACTTGTGATCCTCATTAGCCTCCAAAGGAGCTGGGATTACTGGTGTGCAGTACTGCTCTTGGACCCTTTTTATTTTTTGAGACAGGATCTCACTAAGTTGCCCATGCTGGCCTTGAGCTTGCAATCCTCCTGCCTAAATCTGAATCTCTGGGATTACAAATGTGAGCAACCACTCTTGGCTTTCATTGCATAGTTTTTTAAGAAAAGTTTATATTTGTTTTTGTTCAGTCAAGATCCAAATGTGATTGATTGGATGTCTTAAGTCTCCTTTCAATATCTATAGACTGCCTCCATTTTTTTTTCCTTGAAATATATGTTTTGGAGAAACTTGTTGGCATATAATTTTTCCCAGAGCCTGAAATTTTACTGTTTGCATTCCCGTGATACATTGATTGATTGATTGATTTTTTAAAAAATAAATATCAGCGGAATGCATTATAATTCTTATTACACATATACAGCACAATTTTTCATATCTCTGGTTGTACATAAAGTATGTTGACACCAATTCGTGTTTTCATACATGTACTTTGGATGGTGATGTCTATCACATTTTCACCGTCCTTTCTAATCCCTTGCCCTCTTCTTTTCCCTCCCACCCCTCTGCCTTATCTAGAGTTCCTCTATTCCTCCCATACTCCCCCTCCCTACCCCACTATGAATCAGTTTCCTCCCTTGATACACTTAACACTGTCTTTTACTCTTGTAAATTGATAGTTGGATCTAGATCTTTGGACTCGGTCAGGTAAGGGTACTCCTGGCAAGACTTAATTCACAAGTGGTAGGATAGTCTTTGATATAGATAGGCATATCTGTTCGTTTTTGCCTTGGCAGCAATTGTTGATTGTCCAGGTCTGGGTCCACTGGCACATTAGAGGTTGCCCACCAGGCTGAAGTGCACTACTAACCAGAACTTGGAAGGCTGCTAAATTTAAGAAATTACTGTCTGTCTGGAGCCAGAAAGTAGTTTTTACCTAGTTGTCCGTGATGGCGTTTAAAAAGCTGTTTCTCTTTTTGCCTAGGAAAGCCCTTTTGTAACAATGAGACCTTTGGCCAGTATCCCCTCCAGGTAAACGGTTATCACAACTTACACGAATGTTTGGAAGGGGCCATGGTGGAGGGTGACATTGAGCTTCTTCCTTCTGAGCATTCTGTGAAGTATGGACAAGAGGTAAGGTGCATAGTTTTACTTGCTTTGTTGATGACAAAACCAATTAATTGTAGGACTGAACATGTAGGCAAGCTAGTTTCCTATCACATATTAAGTAACTTTACACTGAATAGAGTTTGAATTTGTCTTAAGTCTCTCATCATTGATGTGAGTCAGTGATTCTCAGTGCTTTGATAAATAAATTCTTCACTAAAACTATGAATTTGAGTTAATCATGTAAAGGTTATATGCTGCTTCTGATATTTTAAGTATGATCAAGTTTCTCTCTTTTTGTTGAAGCCTACCTGTACCTGAGTAGGGAGAACCCACTGCCTCCATATTTTCGGAGGGTAAAAGTACAGTGATTAACTCCTATGGTATGCCATTTAGAATATTTTCCCTATTATGGTATTTATTGTTCTCAATTGTAAATTCTGCCTTTGCATTTACAATTTTTTAAATTTAACTTTTATTTATTTATGTGGGGTTTTTGTTTTTGTTTTTTGGTGGGTTGGAAAGAAAGTGGGAGCAGGAGTAATTAATATTTTACATTTCCAATGGAGTAAGAATTATTTGTAGCATGATTGTCAACACAACATAGTTTGCCTCCAAAAATTGTGAGGCAAAATTGTGGCTTGTACAAGAGTCCAACTCAGGAATTACTGTAGGGGAAAGAAGGCGCTTTCTTGAACTCTAGGGAACCTAACATTAGCCTTCACGTATTCTCATTAAGCTGCGTTGAAACTCTTGAGAAAGCACTGTCTCTCCAGCCTTCAAAGGAAAGAAGTTCTACCGGAGGCCTAGCATCTTTGTAAGCCTGATGCATTTTCTTACACAAGAGAGGGAGTGGCCACTAGCTACTCAGGCCTCAATATTCAAGACCTGAAATATTATGCTTATTTATTTTTAGATTTAACCCTGAGGTAGTCAGTCTTGTCTGGATGCACCTTGTAGTGCCAACAGAGCAACTGAAGGGGGAACACTGTTTGTACCATTAACAAAATGATGGTTTTGAAGCTGTTCATAGGAACCTTTGCCATATAGGTGAATTAAACAGAAATGCCTTTCCTCCCTAGGATTAGTGATAGTTGAACTTTTTAAGTCAGTGTTTTTCTTCCTTGAAACTCTAGGTAACAGCTACCCTACCATTTTAGATCAACTTGATTGTGTGTGTGTGTGTGTGTGTGTGTGTGTGTGTGTTACTAGAATTGAACCCAGATCCTTGAACATACTAAAAGCAAGCACTCCACCACTAAGTTACATTCCCAACCCTTCACTTGCTTTCTTATGAGACATCTGTACATTGGAATTTAGAGTTGTTTTTTCCCCTTCAGAATCTTGAGGAATCAAAATCATGAAGCTATTTCAAGTTTCCTTTTTAGACATAAAGGGAATTCAAATTATGGATAATAGAGTATAAATAGTGTTTAATATATGTATAATATTAGTCTTCTTAGATGATTCCTGCAGTTATCTCCTTAGTTGTATGCTGTTTAGATCATTATTTCCAATTCTTTGATTAGGCTGTTTTCTTCAGCTTTTGAACCTTGTTTTTTAATATTGATTGACTCATTTAATGAAAGAATTGTATAGATGCTTGGTCAATTCATATACTCAGGGCAGTTATTTCTAAGAGTGTTGGTTGAATAAAATGCTGTTGACTGGCTAGTGTTTGGAATCTTGAGAACTGTTTAATCATATTCTCTTAGAGCATGATTCTAAGTGTTTATTTTCCTTTAATATTGGGGATAAAAAATGTTAGTAAGAGCTTGATTTGAATAATTCTATATCACAAGAATAAAGTTTGATTAGGGATATTTTAAATTTATTGCTGTTGCCTAAAATTAGTGTTACTTTTTCTCATATTCCACCCCGGAACATAGCGTTGGTTTACAAAACTACCTCCAGTATTGACCTTTGAACTTTCCAGATTTGAGTTCAATCAGTCCCTTGGGCAGCCAGAGAAAATTCATAATAAGCTGGAATTTCCTCAGATTATTTATATGGACAGGTAAGTTTCTGGTTGATTGTCTCCTGATGTAATGCAACAGTAGAAATGAGCATGTAGTCTTTTGTGGTCTTGATAATTTGCAAATTTGGATGTGGTGGATCTGGGTTGGGGCCTAGGCATTTTCATTTCTAACAAGCTTCCAAGGTAATGTAAATAATGGTTCTGATCTCTGGACCAAGATTTAAGTTGCTAGACTGCAGGTGAAAGTCCTACTGTTTTGGCAGTAAGGAACCTTATATGGAGTAGCCATAGTATAGTTCTTTTTCTTCTGAATACTATCTGTATTCCTGGAGTGGTGATAGAGGGACTCCTAGAGAAACTTAAATTACAGTTTTAATCTCTTTACAGTCTGATTTAATGAGGTACAGTTGACATCCCCAAAGTCACCATTCTTTGGCGTATTTCCAGTATATTTTTGTTTTTGTTTTTGTGGTGCTGAGGATTGAACCCAGGGTCTTATGGATGCAAGGTGAGCACTCTATCAACTGAGCTATATCCCCAGCCCCACCAATATGTTTTGACAAATATAAATAATCAAATAACCACCATCATAATCATGATAGAGAACCTTTCTATAACTTAGAATATCCCCTCTGCCCCTTTGTAGTCAGTTCCTTTCTCCCACCTCCAGGCTTTGTCAACCACTTTTTTTCTGAAGCTATAATTTTGCCATTTCCAGAGTGTTGTATTTAGTATGTACTCTATTATGGCTATATTCTTTTCCTTAGGATAATGCTTTTGGATTTACCTATGTTGCATATACCAATAGTTCATTCCTTTATTTGTTAATTTTTTAGTGCTAGGGATTGAACTCAGGGCCTTGCACAGCCAAGTATATGCTCTTCCTCTGAGATACACCCCCAGCCCCTGTTTAATAATGTTCTATTGTATATATGCACCACAATTTTTTTCTATTCACCAGATATATTGGTTGATATTTCAAATGTATGCAGTTTTAGGCTATTATGAATAAAGCTGCCATGAGCATTAACATACAGGCTTTAGTGTAGTTTTTAATTATCTTGAATAAAATATCTAGGCGTGGATGTTGATGGGTTATATGTAAAGTGTACATTTCTCTTTTTAAGAAATTATTGTACTGTTTCCTAAAGTGATTATGTAATTTCATGTTCCCACCAGTAGACTATGAGAGCTCCAATTTGCCAAATCTTCACCAGTGCTTGGAATTAAGTCTTTTTAATTCTAGCTATTCTAGATGTGTAGAAATATTGTATTTTTCATTTGCTTTATAATTTCCTTATAAGTAATTATATTGAGCATTGTTGGGGGGGTGCTGGGGATTGAACTCAGGCCTTTGTGCATGTGAGGCAAGCACTTTACCAACTGAGCTATATCCCCAGATGTTGAGCATTTTGTTGTGCTTAATTAATAGTCATGTATGTGTGTGGTTTGGGTTTTTTTGTTTGTTTGTTTGTTTGTTTGTGATGTCTTCACATCTTTTGTCTACTGTACAGTTGGGTCAGTTGTCTTAGTACTGAATTGTAAGAGTTCTTTACTATTTTGGTTAGAAATCCAAATATTTTTTTCTCTCTGCTCGTCTGTTTTATTACCAGTGTCTTGAAGAGTGGAAGTTAGGATTTTGATGTAGTCTAGTGTATCATTTTTTTTTTTTAAGTTAGTACTCTTTATGTTCAAGAAATTCTTGCAAGGTCACAAAGATGGTCTGATTTTTTTTCTCCTAGGAATTTTGTTTTAGCTTTCATATGATGTCTACAGCTCATTTAGATTTTATTTATATATATATATTATGAGATAAGGGGGTTTTGGAGAGGGATGGAAGCATGTATTTCTGATGTCTGTTTTGTCTACGGTTTGATCTTATTTCAATGCAACATTGTCTTGATTAAAGTAGCTCTGTGGTTTTGTTTGTTTGTTTTTTTCTGGTTTTTAAAAAAATTTTGTTCAAGAGGTTCTGTTTTAAATCTTTTTTTAATTTGTTCTTTTTAGATATTCATGACAGTAGAGTGACATGTACAATATGTCAAATTAATTATTCTAATTAGGATCCTATTCTGTGGTTGTACATAATGTGGAGTTCATATATGAACATAGGAAAGTTACGTCTTATTCATTCTACTGTCTTTCCTGTTCCCTTCATCCCTTCCTTCCCCACATTCCCCTTTGTCTAATTCACTGAACTTCTGTTGTATGTTAGCACCCACATATCAGAGAGAACATTCGACCTTTGATTCTTTGGGATTGGCTTATTTTACTTAGCATGATGGTCTCCAGATCCATGTCTTAAATCTTGATATTAGGTAGTATCAAAGTAGTTTTGCCTGTTCTGACTGTATTTCTGTATAAGCTTTTTCAGCCTGCCAGTTTCTACCTAATTATTATTAGGATTTTCATTTGGATTGTATTGCACCTATGGATATATTTGAAGATAAATAAATAACATTAAGTCCTTCAATTCATAAACATGACATAGTTAGCTCCATTTAGCTCAACAGTTAAATTTACCCCTAAATAAATCATGCTTTTGATGTTGTGATAATATATATATTTTTTAATTTCACTTTTTATTTGTCCCCTCCTCACCCCCAGTACTAGGGATTGGATCCAGGGATGCTCTCCTACTGAGCTACATCCCTGGTTCTTTTTATTTTTGAGACAGGGTCTTGCCGAGTTGCTGGGGTTGGCCTTGAACTTAGTGTCTTCCTGCCTCCTTAGTCACTGAGATTACAGGCATGTGCTGCCATGACTGCCTTCTATTTGTTCTTTCTTTCTTCATTTATTTATTTATTTTTGTCATTGTATATGGACAGCATGCCTTTATTTGTTTATTTTTTATGTAGTGCTGAGGATCAAACCCATTGCCTCACACATGCTAGGCAAGTGCTCTGCCACTGAGCTACAGCCTCAGTCCCCCATTTGTTCTTCATGAGCATACTGAAATGCAGTTGAGTTTTTTATATTTTTTAATTAAATGGACATTGTATTCTTTGGCCTTAGTAAACTCACTATTCTGATTTTTAAAAATTCCTTGAAATATTTTACATAGACAGTTATGTCATCTGCAAATAAAGGCAGCTTTACTTCTTTCTTTACTATTTATACTTTTATTTCTTTCTCTTGCTTTATTATACTGGCTATTTCCTCAGTAAATAAATTGAATAGATGTGATGAGAGTGGTCATCCTTGCCTTGTGCCTAATCTTAGGGCAGATGTGCCTGTCTTTCACTATTAAGCATGGTATTAGCTATGCGTTTTTCTTTTTCTTCTTTTTTGTACCAGGGTTGCTTAGCCACTGAGCCACATCCCTAGCCCTTTTTATCTTTTATTTTGAGACTGGGTCTTGCTGAGTTGCTGAGGCTATCTTTGAACCTCAATCCTCCTATCTCAGCCTCCTGAGCTGCTGAGATTACAGTTGTGTGCCACAATGCCTGGTTAGTTGTACATTTTTCATAGATGTCCTTTATCTTATTAAAGGAGTTTTCTTGTTTCTCGAGTATTTGTTTATTGTTGTGTTATAATTATACACAGTAGTGGGATTCATTGTGTCATTTTTGTACATGCATATAACGTAATTTGATCAGTCTGAATCCCTGGTACCTTCCTTTTCCCTGTCATTCATCCTCCTCTTATCTGCTTGCTCTACTTACTGATCTCCCTTCTGGTATTATTATTTTAATTAGTGCATCATAACTTTATATATATGTGGGATTCATTGTGGTATATTCATACATGGACATAGTACTATTTGGTAGATTTCCTTTCATTTCTTAACATTACAGAGGGTTTGTGTCATTAATTGTGTTTGTGGGATTATCATTTGCTTAGGTACATGTACAGGAGCAAGGAGCTTATTCGAAATAAGAGAGAGAGTATTCGAAAGTTGAAGGAGGAAATAAAAGTTCTGCAGCAAAAATTGGAAAGGTAAGTTTGTGATACTTTTGTGCTTGGAAATAAATATTGAAGAGTAGAATATGAAGATAGGGTAATTGTTTATATTTGAAAGTTAATTTAGAATTTAAGTAATAACTAGGTATTCCATAAAATAGCTAAGATTCTTTTCCCCCCTAAGGGTGAAGTAAACCTTTTGGACCCACTAATATTATCCATGGGTAAAATATAGTTCCAGAGGACTTAAATGACCAAAAGTCACAAGTTAGTTATTGGTAGTATACTTAGGGCAACCCATGTTCTCATTTTATGTATATATAGCTTTCCACTTTTTCTACTCCCTCTGCTGTCTTTACAAACATAAGAGAAGCAACTGTCACATTGCTCCATTTCACTTGTCTAGGGACAGCAGTTTCTAAAGTATCCAAAAAAGGAAAAATAATGCTGTTTTACCTAGAGTGGTGCTGATTAAAAGGGCTAATATAAATTTATGATTCATACAAGGTTCTTTCCTTTATGGAGGAATCTTTGCTTTTTTTTATTTAGTATTGACTTTTAGTGGAATCACCCTGATTTTCTTATGAGTATTGAATGCAGTTTCCTTCTAGTCTAGGTAGATTCCATTGTCTTTGTATTTTCAAAGGAAATCCCATACACTGTTAGTGGCTTTCCCCCTTCATCTATTTAACCATTTGTCTCCTCCCACTGTCCTACTTCTACTCACTTCATTGATTAAGCATTCCTTTCCCTGAGAGGTAGCACTTTTTATCCCAGGCCCACAGCAGATTCTGCACCCCTCACCTTCCTTTCATCCAGGAAGAACTTTTCCAGTATGTATTTGTCTGAATAGAGACTTACACTGAATATTACCTCCTCCTCAAATACTGTCCTGGTAGTTTTTGATTTATAGGACTTCAAGTATGGCAGTAATTTATTTTAGTGTGTTAATGATACTCTGCAATACTAATAGTTTTTAAAAATTATCATTTTTTTAAATATTTATTTTTTGTTGTAGTTGGACACAATACCTTTATTTTATTTATTTATTTTTATGTGGTGCTGAGAATCGAACCCAGGGCCTTGCATGTGCTAGGCAAGCACTGTACTGCTGAGCCACAACCCCAACCTTTAAAATTATTTTTATAGGACAAAATATGCTTGATATTTTATAACATAGGAGGAACCAGGAACTGATAAAGCATCTGGTTTATTCCGATTTTTTTTTCTTTTTAAATAAAAAGGAGTCTTATTGCTTTGCTTGCAAAGAAGAAACAGAGGACTTCTGTCAGAGAGTCTGTGATTCTGCCCATTAGAGGGAAGAAGGGGTTTTTAAAGAAGTGATTTCACGTGTTCCCTATCCAAAGTTGTAATTCACTTGTTAATTTGGGAGATAGTCATTTCTCACTGGTGCCATCCCTGAATTATTTAGATTTTAAAATAGAGTACAGGAACATTTTTCTTAATATAATATTACTATTGTTTTCTTAGTATAATATTACTATTAAAATAGACTTTCAATTTCAGGGTTTTGTTTTGTTTTTGTTTTTGTTTTTCTTGGCAGAACTGGGGATTAAGTGTAGGAGCACTCTACCACTGAACTACATCCCCAGCCCCTTTTTATTTTTTAAGACAGTGTCTCACCAAGTTGCTGGCCTTGAACTTGAGGTCTCCTACCTTAGCTTTCTGAGTTTCTGGGGTTATAGGTGTGCACCACTGTGTCTGGCTAGATAATTTCGTTATTACAATGTTTTATTATTATTATTATTATTATTATTGTAATAATTGTATTAGAGGTCTATGACTTTTAAGGTTTGTTGTGTACTTTTTTATATTTGCATTTTTTAAAACCAGGGGTATAGATTACTTTTATTGTTGAAGAGTAAAAATTTTAGGGCTGGGGATATAGTTCTGTAGGTAGAGTGCTTTTCTCACATGCACAGGACCCTAGATTCAATCCCCAGCACCACACACACACACACACACACACACACGTTTACCATTTTTCTCTAAGATTATCTTGATATAATATTGAAAATAAGATTCCTGGTATACAATATAGTTACCTTTTTTCAGGTAACTTTTGCTCTGATTCTGCTAACCATAACAGGTACTGCATTGTATGAAGTTGGCCCTAAAAATTGTCTAAAGGAATATAGTAGAAGAACATAAAAATAATTATGTCATAAAATTAAAAACAATTTCTTAGAGAAGATTTTTCACTGGTGTGTTATATAAGTACTGTAATTACACACCTGTAATCCCAGTGACTTGGGAGGCTGAGGCAGGAGGATCTCAAGTTCAAGGCCACCTCAGCAATTTGGTGTGGCCCTGTCTAAAAATAAAAAATAAAAAGGGATGGGGTTGTATCCAGGGTTGCCCCTGGTACAATGCCCAGTACCACCCAAAAAGAAGAAAAGAAAAAGCAACAAATTTAGGAAGAATTAAAGATGTAAAATGATGGCTTATAATTTTATAATGATTACTAATGCTGTATTGTATATGAAATTCAGAAGACAAGCAGAGTTTAGAGAATCTGATAATAGCAGAAGTGATGGCAAGGAAATATGTCTAAGAAATAGAGCAGTTCTCCAAGGATCTTCTACCTTTACATATTTGAGATCCTTTTCAATTAAAGCAGTATTTCTCTTTGGCAGGCAGATTCTATTTCTTCTTTTTTTTTATTATTTTTAGTTGTTCAAAACATTACAAAGCTCTTGACGTATCATATTTCATACATTTGATTCAAGCAGATTATAATTAGTGAAGATGAAGAGGTATGATTGATCTCTTTCTGCCTTTGCTAAGATAGCCTTTGCAGTCTGTCCTCTAATATGTGGTTGACTTTGAGTTGCACTGTCCTTTATTTTCCAGTAGTATTTTCATTTTATAATGTCCAATTTGGGTTTAGAAACAGACAGTTTTCTACCTGTTTCGTACTTGTTACTTTCTTCTACTGTATTTAGGGAAGAAAACTGTGAAGTGACTATTCTTTTGTAAAATGGAAACCCAGAGTTATGAAGATTACCTATGGGAACCAGTCAGGTTGATTATCATACCATTCAAACTCTTATCTACTTTAGTGAACTTAAGAATTCATTAAACTATATCTCTTTAGTGAGTCTAAAGTAATATGCTAATAATGGTAGAATATTAGATATTAATGTATTTATTATTTTGCTCACATACTTGCGAAAATTATTATTTATATAGAAATCTTCAATAATTTAGCCTGGCCTGTGCCATTGAATGAGTGTATGAATAATAGGGTACTTAAGATGCTACATAAGAGCCATTTGCCAGTTTTCTTAGTCTCTGGTCTTTATCAGTACATCATTCTAATTTCTAGACTTCTTTCTTGTATTTTTCTCAATTGTGAAATAGTTGGTCCAAAGGGCAACAAAGAAAAAAACCCTTGAGTGGTAGTTCACTAGAATTATTTTTCAGATTTGAGTACTAGTAACTAGTACTCAAATGTATAGTTACTAGATAATCTGATAATAGCAGAAGTGATGGCAAGGAAATATGTCATACCTCTTCATCTTCACTAATTTAAAGAAGAAATAAAATCTGCCTGCCAAAGAGAAATACTGCTTTAATTGAAAAGGATCTCAAATATGTAAAGGTAGAAGATCCTTGGAGAACTGCTCTATTTCTTAGACATATTTCCTTGCCATCACTTCTGCTATTATCAGATTATCTAGTAACATATATATTTTCTGTTAAAAAATGATTTATTTTTATGACCAGATCTTAAATGCAAAATGACAGCAAGAAAAGGCATATTTGGCGTGATTTTGATTATGATTTGAAATGTTTCCTACCAGATAGAAAACATTCAATTGTTACATTTTTACTTTCATTGAAAATTTAACTCTATAGATTGTTCAAGTAACCTATGAAATATTGTATGCCTATAGGAATAAACTTTTCTACTGACCCTCCACATGATAGACCTTTTGGCAGCAAGTCTTAAAAACACAAAACTTGGGCAGTGGAGTACCATTGTCTTTGCCTCTTAGGTATGTGAAATATGGCTCGGGCCCCACTCGGTTTCCACTTCCAGACATGCTGAAATACGTTATTGAATTTGCCAGTACAAAACCTGCTTCAGAGAGCTGTCCATTGCAAAATGACACATGTATGAGGTTACCACTTCCTTCAATGCACTGCCCGGTTTCTGACCTGACATCTAAGGAAAGGTAATGAAAACAAATTTTTAAAAATGGTATGTATTGATTTTTCTGGTTTAATTTAACTATGCACCAGCTTTCCATCTAATGAGCAACTCACTCCACCAGAGCTCAAGGAGCTGTAAGATTTTCCCTACTGTTGCTTGAGTGACAGTGTTCGTAATTCCCTCCAGTGCACTTATCTTGCCCCAGGATGGGTGGGATAGTTCCAGAAGTTTCTTCCTATCTGGGAATATGTTCGTACTCTTCAAAGACTATCTTGCTGGGAGCCAGCTGCCACTAAAGACCTTTCTCCCGAAGGTTAACCTCTGTTCTTCCAAAATCTCTTTATTTTCCCATCTACTGTGAAGTTAGTAGGGCTAAGTAAACATCAAGGAAAGAGATGTATTCATGAGTAGAGAATTAAAACATGAGACAGACTGGTTAGGAATTGAAGAGGACAGCTAAATGCAGTGGTGTGTGCCTGTAATCTCTGCATCTCCAGAGGCCAAAGCCAGAAGATCAAAAATTTGAGTCATGTTTCCACAATTTAGCAAGACCCTATCTCACAAGGGCTGAGGATGTAGCTCCGTGGTAGAATACCTCTGGATTCAATCCCTAGTACTGCCCTATCCCCCTCAAAAAGAAAGAGAAAGGAAGGAAGGGAGGGAGGAAAGGAGGGAGGGAGGAAGGAAGGAATTGAAGAGGACAGACTAGCGGGTCGTGTGTGTGTATATATTGAAGAAACAGGGAGGCCATGTCAGAATGGCCTTCTAATTGTATAATAATCTTTATAATTTAAAGGAGCCAGTAGGGTCAGCCTGGATCACATTTGATATGTGTGTGTCATGGCTAATTAAAATATTAGTATTCATTTTTTCCAAAAATGACTTTAATATAAAAAAAAACTAATCATTCTCCCTAACCCTCCATATTAATAAATATTAGTATGTTATTTGATTTTAAATTTATAGGGATGTGTGCATGTGTAAGACCTTGTCTGGAATTGAAACATCTGCTTTCTTGCTTATGTGGGGCTTAGTTTTCTATATTTATGTATATATGGGTCCTCAGGGGAAACAGGCTTCCTTTTAAATCAAAACTAAAGGAACTGTAGTTTCAAGTAACCTATGAAATATTACTTTGTATTCCTACTGGTATGTCTATATGTAGTTTTACTCTGATGATAATTGATTAGCAAGTAAATTAAATTTAAAAAAGTTCTTTAAATGAGAGATTTTTATTTGAGGCTGATCCCTTTTCCTTGGGCATTTAGCTTAGGAGTAGGAGAGCTGGAATTCTTGACATGAGGCCCTGTTCTCTGAGTTCTCCCAAGTGGCCAGCCACCTAGTGTATGTTCTTCATTTTTCTTGTTTTTGTGAATTTTGTTCCTAGACAGGTGTTTCACTTTACTCAGTTACATTTTGGAAACTGTCATTGATTCCTTGCTCCTTCTAGTCCTAGCCTTCTCTTTCCATCTTCCTTCTGGTTCTTTCTTCATGAGGAGCATTGTAATTCGTGATTAAAGAACATTAACCATAAACTCAGGCAAAAACGGGCTTAATGCTTTTCCATCATTGTTAAATTGCTTAATTTCTTTAAACATTAGGTTTATGCTTAATAAAATAGGGAGAAGTGATAGTATCTGCTTCATAACCAAGTTGTGTTCAATGAGATGATTCAACTGGTCACAGTGGCACATGCCTGTAATCCCAGTGATTTGGGAGGCTAAGGCAGTAGGATTACAAGTTCAAAGCCACCATAAGCAACCTGTCAAGACTCTGTCTTAAATAAAAAAGGAGCTGATGGCGCATGCCTGTAATTCCAGAAGCTTAGGAGGCTGAGGCAGGAGGATCGTGGGTTCAAAGCCAGCTTCAGAAAAAGCAAGGCACTAAGTGACTCAGTGAGACCCTGTCTCTAAATAAAATACAAAATAGGGCTGGGGATGTGGCTCAGTGGCTGAGTGTTCCTGAGTTCAATCCCTGGTTACCCACCACCACCACCACCACCACCAAAATAAAAATATAAAAAGGGCTGGGAATGTGGTTCAGAGGTTAAGAGCCCTGGGTTTAAGTTCTGGTACCAAAAATGGGGGGGGGATGATTCATGTAAGAAAAATTTTGGCTTAATATCTTTATAAGGTTAATACTAAATACTAAATAAACTAAAATAAATTAAATACTAGCTGTGCTTTTCCATTTATCAGCTTGTTTTCCAAAGCACATTAATTTAGGCTAAGATATATTTTGGAAATTATCATATGAGCATGATTTTTGTCTTCCTTTAGTACAAGTCCAGAATGCTCTTCTCAGGATGTTGAAAGTACCTTTTCTTCTCCTGAAGACTCTCTACACAAGTCTGAGGTAGCAAGTAGGCCCCTAACTTCCCCTCGGTCTTCCCTGGGAATGCCTGCACACCCAGCTCCTCGAACAGTCACGGATGAGGAAAAGAACTTTGTTAAAACCTGTCTTCAGAGATGGAGGAATGAGATTGAACAAGATATACAAGGTTGGCATTTTTAAAACTTGTCAACTACTCTTTGCCTTTTCTTGGTTGAATATTTGGAAGCTGGGTACCCTGGATGCACTTCCTGCCATTACCATACAGGCTGTTGAATTTTGACTCAGTAATTGTGATTTCTTTTTCACCTTTTATGCCCTATAAGATTGGTTCACTCCCCCATTATATAGCTGTGGAAAGATGACTCCAAGATTCCCTCTTCAAAATTTCTGGTAATCTGTAGAAACTTACACACTCATGATTATTTTTGCTCAGGTCCAATTACCTTTCCTTCTTCCTCTATCCCTCCTATCTCTTCTCCATTCTTCTTTCCCTTTTTCCACCCTTCCTTCTTCCCTCCCTCATTTTTTTCCTTGTCTGTCTTCCCTTCCCTTCCCTTCCCTTCTTTGTTTGCTTGCTTGCTTTCTTGCATGTTTTCCATCTTTCTCAGAGTACTGGGCATCAAACCCAGGGCTTCCTGCATGCTGTGCACATGCTGTCCTACTAAGCTAAATCCCAAGTCCATAATTTTCTGTTTATTCATTTTTGTTCCTACAGTAGTTTTTCAGACCTTGGTTTCAGTTGATCCAATCTTAGAATTTTTGGATTTCTTCTTTTAAGTCTTTTTCCATGTAAAGCATGCTGTACTGAAGTTTAATGGGGCAATGAATATTTAGGTGTTGCACATGATGTAAAATTGAATTATTCATCATTTTGTTTTTAAAATTCCTTTGGTCTCATTGCCTTATTGCTCAGATTATCCCTTCCCTTTCTTTCCCCTTTTATTTAAGGAGCAAAGAGACAAGTAAAACTTGAAATTCCTCCCAAGTTCTTATTCAGAGAAATATAGCCCTCCCTTTTTTGTCCTTTTTTTTTCAGATCCTATCACTGAGACATAGTATTTTATGCCCAACTTAATTTCCTAATAAAGTTTCCTCTTTTAAGCATTTTAGCTGGGCACAGTGGCACACATCTGTAATTCTAGTGACTAGGGAGGCTGAGGAAGGAAGATTCAAGTTTAAGGCCAAACTTAGTGACTTAGTGAGGCCCTAAGAAACTTAGCAAGACCCTGTCTCAAAATAAAAAGTTGAAAGTGGGGGATGTGGCTTAGTGGTTAAATACCTCTGGGTTCAATCCTCAGTACTAAAAGAAAAGAAAAGGAATATTGATATCAGTTTTAAAAACTAATTTAAAAAACCCTTCATAACCTAAAACATGAGCTGCTTTAAAACTGTTACTACTTTGTGGTTCACAGCAGGAAATCGAAATCATAAGAACTTTGTGTACACTTAAGCAATACTGTCTGATTAGCTGAGTGAGTTGATTTTAACAAAGTGTTCTTTTTTAACAGATTTAAAGAGTTGTATTGCAAGCGCCACCCAGACTATTGAGCAGATGTACTGTGATCCTCTCCTTCAGCAGGTTAGAATAAAAATGGTGGGAAAAGAGTCATGGCATGTGCTAATCATAGATGCAACAGGAAAATATGATGTTTTTCTTTTAAACAAATAGGACTTTTCCTGAAATATGAGAATAAACTTGAGCCAGTGTGGTGGCACACAACTATAATCCCTGCTACTCAAGAGGCTAAGACAGGAGGATTGCAAGTTTTAGGCCTGCCTGGGTAACTTAGCAAGATGCTGTCTAAAAATAAAAAGGACTTGGCGTGTGACTCAGTGCTACAGTGCCCTAGGTTCAGTCCTTAGCACCACACACTCAAAAAAGGAATGAACAAGATAGATACTGATTCCTTTGATTAGGTTAAAGAAAGCAATGTATCTTTTGCCTGCAGTAGAACCTAAAACATCATTGTTTTGATTCTGCCATGTGGTATCTTTTCATCTTGTAGAAAGGTTTACTTTCAAATATTAATACACATTTCTCACAAAATTGTAATTTAAGGAGTTCAGTGGGGGGAAAATGACTTAGGAACCAATTATCCATCAATTTTAAGAGTGCCATGGTCCTTTGAGAACCTTTTTTAGCAGTGTGCTTTCAAGCTTTGTATCTTGAATAACTTAAACTTCAAATGGAAGCCAGGAAGGACAGAAATTCTTATTGTCCACACAAATTTTTGTTCAGAATAGCATTCTGGGCATGGCCTTGCAGAGGCATCTGTGTGAATGGACCACGGGCAGAATGGCTGCAGGAGGAGAGCTCTGCTTCTAGAACGGCAGTGAGCCCAATTCTGTTGCGTAACAGGAATGTACCATGTGAATCTCGGGGGTTCCCCGTTGTCTCTTTTGTGTTATTTCCAAAATCTTCACCACCAATGAAAACATGTCAAGGTACTGATTAAGTGTAAGTTTAATTTGATTCTATAACTAACTTTTCTTTCTTTCACCAATACTTAGAATTTAAGCATTGTTCTATTTTTTCCATATTGGGGGGAAAAAAGCACTTTTCAAATGTTGAAACAATAAATGGGCTTACCCAGTATTCACTCACAAGAAGAAATATAAGGAGCATGTGACTAATTTATAATGAAATATGCTAACTTAAATTTTGGTACCAATAAAATAGGACTAAAACAAGATAGCTGCCGACTTGTGTTTAAGTCCCAAATATGGTAAACATTTTCTCAATGTAAATAGCTAAGGCTATTCTATTTTTAAACAAACTGACTTTTGAGCTGGACATGGTGGCACATGCCTGTAATCTCAGTACTCGGGAGGCTGAGGCAGAAGGATCATGAGTTCAAAGCCAGCCTCAGCAAAAGCGAGGTGCTAAGCAACTCAATGAGACCCTGTCTCTAAATAAAATACATAATAGGGGTGGGGATGAGGCTCAGTGGTCGAGTGCCCCTGAGTTAAGTCCCTGGTACCAAAAATAAAAAATTTTAAAAAACCTTACTTTTGAGTTGGAAGGGTAAGTAAACCTACATTATCTTTGGTTTTAGATCTTTAATCATAATAGAGTAGTTTCGAGTTAAAAGAGCTTTCAGAGAGGTTATCTAATTCAGCTGTCTGGTTTTAAAGATTCTGGAACTGAGGTATCCTTGAAAGATTCCAAGGCTGAGTTTTTGTTAGTTCATCTTGAATTAATAAGATGTTTGAAATGAACCCCTATATCATATACATGCATGAATGGTCATTTTTCATTAATCTGATAATTGGAAACAGTTTTTGCATTTGAATAACCTAAACTTTATCAGATTACTTTGCTTAATCTAACTGAGGAATTTCCTTTCTGATTTGCAGGTGCCTTATCGCTTACATGCAGTTCTTGTTCATGAAGGACAAGCAAATGCTGGACACTACTGGGCCTATATCTATAATCAACCCCGGCAGATCTGGCTGAAGTACAATGATATATCTGTTACTGAATCTTCCTGGGAAGAACTTGAAAGAGATTCCTATGGTGGCCTGAGAAATGTTAGTGCTTACTGTCTGATGTATATTAATGACAAGCTACCCCACTTTAATGCAGGTAAAAAGATCTTTAACAGAACCCAGAGACTGGGGGAAATCTGTACCACCCGGGGAGGAGGATGGTCTCATATTTCTTTTGCATAAATTTATTGTTATGTAATTAACATTTCACTTAAAAGATAAAAGCAGTAGAAAAGAGGATAAAAAGGAAAAATGAATTTGCTTTTCTACTTCCATCCTTGACAAGTGGTCCTGCTCTTCGGCAAGTATACAGTATATAGTCTTTAAGAAATGTTCTCTGTGTATGCTAGATTGTATTTATCTATCCTCTCTCCCTCATTGACCCTGCCAAGGGATATTTTTCTGTTCAGTTCTGCACCTGTTTCATTAATAGAGTGTTTAATGATCTCTATAATTTCAAAAATAGGTCCTCATTTTTTTTGAACAACTGTATAATAATTCCATTGTATCTGACACAGTTTATTTGATCAGCTTCCCATTGATAGAGTTTTTAATTATCTCTAGTTCCTCCATGTCTTGTTAGTGAGATCCTTTTTTTTGTTGTTGTTGTTTTTGTACCAAGGATTGAACTCAAGAGGCACTTGGCCACTGAGCCACATCCCCAGCCCTATTCTGTATTTTATTCAGAGACAGGTCTCACTGAGGTGCTTAGCCCTCGCTTTTGCTGTAGTGGTCTTTGAACTCACGATCTTCCTGCTTCCCGAGCCACTGGGATTATACCACTGTGCCTTCTTACACATACAGTTTTGCACCTTTAGGACAGCTAAATTTTAAAGGCATATTTTCCCAAACAGTCTCATTTCTCATAATACTAAGAGCAATGATAATTATTATTTATTAGTATTTTATTCCTTAATACATTCTTTCAAATTTATATCTATAATATGTTATAACTCTAAAAGGGAGGTAGGCAGGGTAGAAATCCTTATAATCCTCATTTTCCAGCTAGGTAGCAAGCTTTCAAGGAGTCTACAGTTGTCTAGATTCTATAGCCATTAAATAAATGTCAGGCCATAGATTTAAATTCAGATCTGACTCCTAATTCTATTTACATTATTCTCTCTTCCTTTCAGTCTTCTGTGAGTGACCTTTATGACCAGCATTTTATGTGTAAAATAATAGAAGGCTTTTTTTCTCGGAGACTGAGAAAGACCCTGTCTCAAAATAAAAAGACAGGGGATTATAGCTCAGAGTGCTTGCCTAGCATGTGCAAGTCCCTAGATTCAAACCCTGTACCACCAGGGGAATGGGGGAGTGAGGGGACCGGGGTGGAGGGAGGCGCTCGTTCTTTTAGTACTGAAACTCTGTTAGTGTGCAGAAGTAAGAAAACATGAGCCAGGGGGCTGGGATGGTGGCTCAGTGGTAGAGTGCTCACCTAGCCTGCATGAGGCACTGGGTTCGATCCTCGGCACCACATAAAAACAAACTAATGTATCCACCTAAAACTAAAGATACATAAATAAATAAATATTTTTTAAAAAATAAAAAAACATGAGCCAGGGCTCAGTGGCGCATGCCTGAAATCTCAATGCCTCAGTGGCTCTAGAGGCTAAGACAGGAGGATCACTAGTTCAAAGCCAACCTCAACAAAAGTGAGGCACTAAGCACTCAGTGAGACCCTGTCTCTAAATAAAATACAAAATAGGGATGGGGATGTGGTTCAGTGGTTGAGTGCCCCTGAATTCAATCCCCAGTATTCCCCCAAGACAAACAAACAAACATGCAAGGCATTTTGTCCAGGCAGCATATTATCTTCCTGATACGCTAGTGTGGTTTAGGAATATGGGATGAAGAGAATGTTCATTTAGTAATAACCAGTGTTCAAAATCACATGTTTACAGTGTAAAGGAACAAATAGCTGCTTGTTGGAGTTATTGTGCAAATGACTATACTAGCTGTTGGTTATATGTAGGAGCCTTGCTATTCCTTGCATTATTCCTTTTTATATTGTAGAAACAAACAAGTAGAAACTTTTGTTTGCTTAGTGAAAAGGCTAGTTGATACCAATCAATAAGTGAATGTGTTGTTCTGCTGTAGGTTTTGTTTCAGTTTGGTCACAGGATTAGAAAGAAATTTAATGTGTCCTTGATAAGCTTGCAGTTTTTCATCATAGCTTTTGATGAGCCAGATATTATAGACCATCTGAACCATTGCTGCATATTGCTTTATAATAGGGCTTTGGTTGTGTGAAACTTGAGGAAATAGAAATGCCTTGAAATTTCTATTTAACCCTCCTCCTAATGGACATTCTTATCAATAAGTACAATGGCTCAATTGATAAAACTTTTTAGCTTAACGTTTCCATTGTATCTTGATTTTTTTTTAATTTCCAAGAAATGTTTGGTATACCCAGTGATTGATCATGATTCCAAATCCTTTTTACTCTGTATCATTTATTCTTTCATTCATTTAGCGTGTATTTAATAAGTGCCTACCTACTACTATGCCAGGCACTGTTACTGATATGCTGTGCTTTTTGACCTTATATTGTCAGTATTTCTTTCCTTCCACGTTTTTACTGGTGCATTATAATTGTACATAAAAGATAGGATTTGTTGTTACACGTGCATCCAAGCACACAGTATAATAATACAATTTGACTAGTATCACTTCCCAGCACTTACTCCTCCTCCCCCCTCACCCCTTTTCTCTACTGATTTCCCTTTGATTTTTATGAGATCCCCACCCCCAACCTTTCTTTTCCATATTCCTTTGTAGCTTTCACATATGAGAGAAAACATAACGATCCTTTTTCTTCTGAGTTTGACTTATCATAATGGTGTTTAGTTCCATTTTCCTGCAGATGATATAATTTTATTTTTCTTTATGGTTGAATTAAACTCCATTGTTGTATATAGACCACATTTTCCTTGTCTGTTCATGCATTGATGGACACCTAGGCTGGTTCCATAGTTTGGCTGTTGTGAATTGTGCTGCTTTAAACATGGGTATGCATGTATCACTGTAATATGGTTTAATTCTTTAGGATGAATACCAAGGAGTTGTATAGCTGGATCATATGGTGGTACCATAACTATTCTTTTGAGGAATCTCTATACTGATTTCTATAGTGGTTGTACTAATTTACAATGCTCCCAACAGCTTAATAGTGTTCCTTTTCCTCCACATCCTCTGCAGAATTTATTATTATTATCTGTATTTCTGATTAATTGTACATGTATGTATGTGTTTTTAATTAGGGGCAAGTCAAAAGATGAAATGTTCTGCTTTCTTCCTTTCTGGAAAGGAACTTTTGATTCCTAAGAGATGTTTTCTGGATGGTACTCCATTTAATTCTGTCTTTGGTTTTTCTCAGAGGCAGCCCCAAATGAAGCAGATCGGATGTTAGGAGAAGTAGAAGCACTGTCTGTTGAACTCAAACATTACATTCAAGAAGATAATTGGCGGTTTGAGCAGGAAGTAGAAGAGTGGGAAGAAGAACAGTCTTGCAAAATTCCTCAAATGGAATCCTCCACCAGCTCCACATCACAGGATTTCTCTACCTCACAAGGTATCTGAGAAGGGCATATGTCCGTGTTTTAATAGCATGTAAGTTGCACACCAGACAGCCCTATGTACCCCAGCTGATCAAGCAATACTTTTATCTTTACAATGTTTCATTTATAATTGGCTTTGCATAACCAGATAGAGTAAATTTGTGACTTCAGAATGTGATTTCTGATGAATAGAAATAATATCAGAAGACTACCTGTCCTTTGTACATATAGTTTTGCTAATTTCTCAGGTTGTAAGGGAAACTATAATAGATTGATAGGTAGACTTTATGAAAGCTGTCCTCCAAAGAAGATCTTCCTTACAGAAGGATTTTGCGGGGAGTCTTCTGGGCGTAAAGAAATATGACAAAGTTGAGAGCATAATTTAACAGAATCGTCAGTGGGTTTTTGCTGAAATAGCCATTTCTTGTTAACACTAGTTTCTCTTTAAAAGGTGTGTTAGAAGTGTTGTGTATTAAACTGTGTATCAAGCAAGTGTATCATTCTGCTTGCCAGATATCTGAGTGTCCTAGTCGTTATTTATCAGTGGAAGCTAATGTCTTTGTGTGGTTCTTTGTCAGACCCTCCAGCAGCCTCTTCTCATGGGGCTCGCTGCTTGTCATCTGAGCATGCTGTGATTGTGAAGGAACAAACAGCCCAGGCAATTGCAAACACAGCACATGCCTATGAAAAGAGTGGTGTAGAAGCAGCACTGAGTGAGGTAAGACTGACTAGGAGGCCAAGATTCAAGAGTGTCTGACTTTCAACAGTAAATGCCAACTGTCTCACATTTCTGTTATTCTGTGTCTCTTCTGCATTTAACCAACCCCTCTTTATTTCTCCTGTTTTTTTTTTCTTACTCTTTTTTTCCATTCTGCTGCCACAGCTTAAGGAAGCTGAACCCAAGAAGCCCATGCCCCAGGAAACAAACCTTGCAGAGCAGTCAGAGCAGCCCCCAAAGGCTAATGATGCAGAGTCTGCTGCCCAGCCTAATTCTGAGGTCTCTGAAGTCGAAATTCCCACTGTGGGAAGGATTCTGGTTAGATCTGATGCAGATGGATATGATGAGGAGGTACAAAGATGAGTGTAGGAATTAGCTGTTTGTTGTCAGTCTTATATTTCCTTCTCATGTGACAGTATACTTTTAAAAGGTGTCTGGCAGCCAGGCATGGTGGCACATGCCTGGTAATCCCAGTAGCTCAGGAGGCTGAGGCAGGAGGATCGCAAGTTCAAGGCTAGCCTGAGCAACTCAGTGAGGCCCTAAGCAACTTGGCGAGACCCTGTCTCAAAGTAAAAAATAAAAAACGCTGGGGATGTGGCTCAGTGGTTAAGCATCCCTGGGTTCAATCCCTGGTACCAAAAAAAAGTATCTGGTAATATAGCTAATATTTTTCATTGAAACAAATAATTGACAAGAAGTCCTATATGGTTTTGACCTTAATTACTACTTTTTAAAAGATAATTTTATTTCTACTGTGCACTGTTTCTTTCTGTATGTGTATATATATTTATTCAGGATTATACTTAGGGGAACCACTTCAGAATCTAGATGGCTCAGAAAGGTAGAATTTAATTCTTATTTTGGTATTATGAATAAGAATTTCCTTCTAGGGAATTTTTATGGTTTATATTAGTCAATTGTTTTTCCTCCAAATAGAAATTTGTCCAATGAGCAAAACAAATCTGGATTAAAGTTGTTTTTGCTTTCAATTCTTTATCAAGAAAGCTATTTTCAAAGTTTTATTGAAGCAGCTGTAGAATCCCAAGGTATTCATTTTTACTACACATAAAATAGTCATGAATCCTATCTCTCAGATTTCCATTTTTTCCTATGGGTGTTTTGTTATTTTATTTTTTTCCCCTAAATCATCATTGGAAGGTTTTCATTTTATAGTCATATTTGTGTAGCTCCTAGTTTCCAGACTGTTTTAATATGCCATTTATCCAACTACAGCTCTAAAGTACTTGTGTATTTAAGCTGTGTGCCCAAAGTTACAGAACTAAATTACAGTTGGGTCCTAGACAGTTCCCCTCAAGAGCTATAGTTTAATTCAATTCTTCAGCAGTGCCATATTGGAGATAATTTTGGACATACATCTTCATCTTGCTCAGTTAGAAATGTATAATAGAGGAATAGCTCATCATGGGCGCTGTGTTTATGTTCTATAAGGGGGCAGAGGCTATGCATGCACATAGGAATAGAGTATTGAAACTTGTATCAGTGCTGGCCAAGGAGCACACTGCTCTACTTTCTTTTAGCACTTTCTTTACCTTGCTTTCATACAGTCTTCTTTTGAACCTTTCTTTCCTTTTTCTCTCTGTTTTGTGCCCTCTTGTGGTAGGTGATGCTGAGCCCTGCCATGCAAGGGGTCATCCTGGCCATAGCTAAAGCCCGTCAGACCTTTGACCGAGATGGGTCTGAAGCAGGGCTTATTAAGGTATCTCTGTTTTCAAAATTGTAATATTTAAACCAGCTATCCTAATATTGGGGCAGTAATTATAAATGTGGAGAAATGTGTTTTTTAATTTACATCATTCAAGTGAAATATAAACCTTCCCTTCATGTCCAACTAATGAGCAAGCTGTCCCACAATACTATTGGCTCCTCTCCTCTTGGCACTCACCCAGCCTGTTAGCAGTGCCACTGTCTGTTACATCTAGCCTACAGGGGCTGTTGCTTTTGTTAGTAGATGTCCATTACTAAAACTGTAGGTGATACTGTTGCCTTTGTGATTTGGGGGCCTTATTATAAGAAAGTATGTCACAGTGTTAAGGTATTTGAATAAAATTTAAGATTCTTGAATTAGGTTACATTTGTATGGATTTCTAAAAACAAAAAAAATCAACTCATTATTTTTTATTTTTTAAGAACTTGAAAAAAAATTTCTCTTATAATTTGTGATGCCAGTTTCATCCTTTATGATATGCAGACAACTTAAAAGGTTCCCTAATTGCTTTTATAATTCCTCGATGAGAAGAATTCCTTAGCATTATCATGGAGTTATGAGATTCTCCAGACCTTGGGCATCATTTTTTGTGTGCAGAAGTCTGCAGATATACCCTTTTCTAACTATAAATTCTGTCTTTAATAGGCATTCCATGAAGAATACTCGAGGCTCTACCAGCTTTCTAAAGAGACACCTACCTCACACAGTGACCCTCGACTCCAGCATGTCCTTGTCTACTTTTTCCAAAATGAAGCACCCAAAAGAGTAGTAGAACGAACCCTTTTGGAACAGTTTGCAGATAAAAATCTTAGCTATGATGAAAGGTGAGAAGGGTGTACTCAGGTGATTCAGCCTCCATCGATATTAGGAAGAGATTTGGCCTGGCACCCATTCATTACTTGGTTAACTTTCTCCCATGCAGATCAATCAGTATTATGAAGGTGGCTCAGGCTAAACTAAAGGAAATTGGTCCTGATGACATGAACATGGATGAGTATAAGGTGAAGTCTTTTTTTTTATTTCACCATTACAGCAAAACTATTTATTCTGAAGGAAAATGGTACCTGAGGCAAAATTAACAATTTTGTATTATCACAGACTGGACTTGTTTCTCTCTCCACCATAGAATCAGGAAAGAATGGATAAACAGTCTTTACTTACCCTCAGAATAGAGGTCTCTCTTTTTCCATACTCCTTTTAGAATGATGCAGTTTCATTTCCTTTTAAGTACCTACTTGAGCCTTGTAGGCAATAAAATTTCTTGAAAAGACGCTTTTGGATTTTAAAAAATGGTGCTGTTTTCTAATATGTATTAAAATACATACAGCTATAATTTTTTAAAAAGTCATTGTATTCTAAGAAACTATTCTACCACCAAAGTATGCTTGTCTCACACTAAGCATGAGGTGCTTCTGTGTGACGTGCAATAGCCTTGTACTTTCATCCTCCCTGGATGGTCTTGTCAGGACTTTTTGATACGATTGTTGGAAATTCAAAGAATAAATTCTAAAGCTCATGTGAAATATTTCTGTTCCTCAGTGAAAGAAATAGAACGTTTAAAACTAAGGTCAGTGGTAGACTTTTATTCTAAATGTTGAGTAGTTTTCTCTTTTTCTTTATTTCTTTGCAGTACTGAGGAGTTAACCCAGGGGTGCTCTACCATTGAGCTATAACCCCAGTCCATTTTTTTTTTTTTTTTAATTTTGATACAGGTGTCTGTAAGTTGCCCAGGCTGTCATCAAACTTGCATTTCTTCTGCCTCAGCCTCCTGGGTGGCTGGACTTATAAGAGTGTGCCATTGTGCCCAGCCTTGAATAGGATTTTATATAAAAGTTGTATTTGTTGTTTTGGATGTGGCCAAATGTGCTCAATAAATATTTGTACTGAATTTAAAACTCAGTGTGGGAAATGCAGCAGTAGAGTACTGAGATCAAATTCATTACTAACTGTCATTCCTTTTCAGAAGTGGCATGAAGATTATAGTTTGTTTCGAAAGGTGTCTGTGTATCTCCTGACAGGACTGGAACTCTATCAAAAAGGAAAGTATGTTGTTGGCCTTTGATTTTATTAAAAACTTGGTCAGGACACTGTTACTTGCTGATGCTCACCTAGAGTCACAGCCATGACCTTCCTCATCACACATTAATGCACTGCATCACTTTTTCCGGTGCTTCACTTCAGTTTTGCTGTGAACATCACACATTTAATTTCATTCTTCAAATAAACATAAGTTTACTAGTAAAGTGATACATAGTGCCATTTTGTTTTGGTGGTGCTGGGGATTGAACCCAGAGCCCCTGCATGTGGCCAAATGCTTACCATTGAGTCACATCCCCAGCTTCCCAGACTTTCTCTGTGACAAATAAGAATGTACTCAGAACATTAATGAATTTTTGAAGTTGTCATGTACCCCAGTGAGCATCTAGTTCCCTTCTTTGATTTAGAAAGAGGAAAAACTGAGACCTAGAGAAGTTTCCAGATTTGCCTTGGGTTTCTTGACAAATTTTTAGAAGAGCTGAGGATGGCCATGGTTCTTGGCCCAGAGGCTCCTCTTAGTATATCAAACTGAGCTCATCTTTAAGATTTTTCTATAATTGCAACCAAGTAGATTCTTGTATTAAGAAACAGTTGGGTCTAATCCCTAAATTTTGGTGGAGAAGAACTCAGCTGTGGTTTATCTCCTGTTTTCTAAGGTACCAAGAAGCACTGTCCTACCTGGTGTACGCCTACCAGAGCAATGCTGCTCTGCTAATGAAGGGGCCCCGCAGGGGGGTGAAGGAGTCAGTGATTGCTTTGTACCGAAGAAAATGCCTTCTGGTTTGTACTCTTTGTGAAGCCTTAAGAAGATGTGTGAATGTGTGTGTGTGTTTATCTCTGCTGTTGGAACCATGGTGAGATATAACTTAAACAAGAATTATCTCTAGCAGATTTTGGATTTTTTTTGTCCAATTCTTGTGAGCAGTTTTACATTGGGACAGGTTCTTTTATAATACCTTAAGTGAATATCATTCTTCAACCTGTAAGAGAAGTTAAGATGAGAGCCAGATGTCCCTTTTTGTGCCCTTCCTGTGTGCCTGCATTGTGGTTTTGATGGCCTTACTTCCCTGCTACATGGTAAGTTCACTGAGCAGAGAGACTTATTCAGCTGTTTTCCTCGAGACTGACACATAGAGTGCATGTGTGGTATTTTTTTCTACTGTTCCCTACTAAGCTAACAGATGAAAGTTTTAGGGACTCCACAGGGGTTTTTTGTTTGTTTTTTTTTTTGTTTGTTTGTTTTTTCTTTTTTTTAAGGTAAGAAGCATAATAATTAGTCCTACTGTCATGCTGGCATCATTGTGATATACCAGTTAAAACTAAACCTACTCTGGCCTGTTTTGCATTCAGCAACACAGAAAGGCAGATCTAATCAATACCCTCTGCCTACCCAAGGGTGCATACCCTGCTCATCCTTCAGAGAACTATTGAGGGTCTTGCCCTCTGATTGTGTGCTCGTGTTCATTTTCCCTAATACCCAGGAGCTTGGCCCTTGACAAGTAGGCCATCATTCCTACCACTGTCTGATCTTCTTAATAACAAGCGGAGGATGCTAAATCATGACATGTTCATCTCACCAGTTTCATTTTCTGATTTATACTTTGTTTTCTGTATCAGTTATAGGTGTGACATGCTACTTTGAAACTGGAAAAGGGGGCACGAAAATTTGACAGATCTGAATTTTATTAGAGCCAATGCTTTTATAACACAGATTAACATATTAAACATCCTATGCAGCTTACAGAGTAGCACAGTAACAGGGATTTAGTCTTATTCATTACTGGCTTTCAACCCCTAAATATATCAGAATCACATAGGGAGCTTTCATATGTAGTTATTATTCAGGTCCCTCCCCAAACAGTTAAACCAGAATTCTAGGGAGGGGCCTGCTCATTGGTGTGTCTTCTGCAGATGATTCTGATGCTCAGTGGAGATTGAGAACTATTAAATTAGTCTTGGTATAAGCAGATATTAAGCATTACCTTGACATATAAGTTTAGGTCAGCAGATCACTAACTAGATTGCATTAGAATCACTTGGGGAACTTTTATTATAAAATCCTGATGCCCCAGTCACTCACATGCTAATTAAATCAGCATATTTGGCCTGGGAACCAGGCATCAGTGGTCCTTCTTCCCTGGTACTAGGGATTGAACCTAGGAATGCTCTACCACAGAGCTACATCTCTAGCCTTTTTAAATTTTATTTTGAAACATGATCTTGCTCAGTATCCCAGGCTGGCCTCAAACTTGGGATCCTCCTGTCTCAGCCTTCCCAGTAGCTGGGATTACAGACATGTGCCACTGTGCATGGCAGCATCAGTGTTTTTTAAAAGATCCCTAGGTGATTCCATTGTGCAGTAAAATGTGGGAACTACTTGTTTAAACTCTTACTAAATAGATATTTATCTTTTTCAGACTTTATCTCCCCCTACTCTGTATTTTATCTGTAGGAGCTGAACGCCAGAGCGGCTTCTCTCTTTGAAACAAATGACGACCACTCTGTAACAGAAGGCATTAATGTGATGAATGAGTTGATAATTCCCTGCATTCACCTTATTATTAATAATGACATCTCCAAGGATGATCTGGATGCTATTGAAGTCATGAGAAATCATTGGTGTTCTTACCTTGGACAAGATATTGCAGGTGTGTTGGCACCTGTAATAATTTCTATGGTTTTAGGAATTCTACAAATTTCTATGGTCAGGTTTTAGCACTGGGGGTGTTAAGCCCTTTAGGATGTTGGAACTCACCAGCATGTGAGTTTAGTGGATCTGCTGTATGGAAATACGAGGTGTGAGTCTGGGCTCTTAATTTTTCCTGTGGCTTGAAGTTATAAGAATATCACAAACTGTGATGACCTCAAGACTAATAAATTAGTATGCAGAACATCCTTTTAATATTTGCAGTTTACTTAGGCCATGTGTAAGCTTTACTTAATGTAGTGTATACACAATGGTGTATTTTAAGCATTTGAAAGAAAATAGCACCATTATCTGTATGGTACAGGGTATCATATCCACTTTCTCAAATTTTAAAAGTGCACTTGATTAGAAGACCTGTCCACAATAAAGTGAATATGTGGTATAACTGCCAACAACACATAGCTTACAGCAATATATTTGGTATATTTGGCAGGTAGATCTTTGTTCCTGATTGTTCTAAAGGAATCAATGTTTGTTGTTAGCTTTGAACTTTGGGTAATGAGCTGTCTGAAGACCTTACCATATAGTTGTAGGCTTATTATTTTTTACTTGGAGATGTAGTTAACTCTATGTGTGACCATCTATTTTACAGAAAATCTGCAGCTGTGCTTAGGGGAGTTTCTGCCTAGGCTTCTGGATCCTTCTACAGAAATCATCGTCTTGAAGGAGCCTCCAACTATTCGACCCAATTCTCCTTATGACCTTTGTAGCCGATTTGCAGCTGTCATGGAGTCAATTCAAGGAGTTTCAGCTGTGACTGTGAAATAAGCTCACTTATGTTCAAGGCTTGCTGTGGTCTCTGGCTGCCTACCTATTATGGTCAGAGTCACACTCTTCACCTGGGGAAAGGGATTAAGTGGTCGAGTAATATTCAGTTTCACACCCCACCCATGTTGTGCATTTAAAGAAGGATTAAAGATAAAATTGCACTTTTTAGGTACAGAATCATGAAAGCTATTTCACCAAGATAAGACAGGAACCAGGTATTAAAGTATTGAATTATGCCTGAAGACCTGAAATGCCTTTGAACTATAATGCTTGGGCTTTTCTAAGCCTCTTGTCTCTTTTCAAATTATTCTAAAGGCCTAAATATTTTTGACAGCAGAACATAAGAGTGACTCATCAGACCCCCAAACCAAATGAACAGCTACTATTTTATCAAATCCAAATGACATTTAAAAATGCTAAACTACAAGAAAGTAGTAATGTTGCTTGGCTTTTGACAGGGGATGATAAAATGTGTTGCTGATGAACCTCTCTACCCTTTTACATGAGGGTAGAATATAAGGTCACATGGCAGTAAGATGCCAAAAAGTCAAAGGAAAACTGCCTCTCCTTCCTTTCTTCTCTGTCTTTTAAATTTTTAAATAAACCAGAAAACCTCATACTCAGTCCTGAGAGAATGAAAGAAAAGCAATTGAGGACTTTGACAGAATAGCATTGTGAAGCTTGATTAAAGATAGCGTTTTTAATAGTTGTTAAACATTTATTAGGCAGAGTTTTCTGGTATCTGAAAATTGTCAAGAAGGATTGTCTAAGGCTGCTGCCTAAGACTATAATAGAACACTTTGTTTGATTCCTCTCTTTTTTTTGCTTTTAAAAACTAAGGGATGTGGATTTGTAAAAAGAAAAAGAATATCTATCTATCTATATATATGTATATGTAGAGAGAAAACTGTTTTTAAAGGACTTTTAATTGGGAATTATGTTTTAACAAATTTTAAAAATTAAGGGAGGAATCATGGGAGGGAAGAACACTTAATACAACTATGCAGATTTTATAAATGTGCAATAAAGTATTTGTTTTACCTTTGGTGTGCAGTATGACCCTTATTTAAATACGCTTTTCCATTTTGAAAATGGATGGACTCCGTAAACATTTCAATTTTTCTTCTTTAAAAGAAAAGGGCAGATTAAAAAGTTGAGAAACTCGGGCTGAGGTTGTGGCTCAGAGGTAGAGCACTTGCCTACCATGCGTGAGGCACTGGGTTTGATCCTCAGCACCCCATAAAAATAAAATATTGTGTCCACCTATAAGTAAAAAAAATAAATATTAAAAAACATAATAGAGTTGAGAAACTTGATGGGTCAGGAGGTGCCAGCATTTGAAAGAGCAAATGCATTCAGTTCCTGAGCAGAACCTTCTCATGTCATTTGCCCATTTGCATTGCAAATGAATGTGTAAGCATATTCACTTTGTAATTTGTCAAGTTCTAGAATGAAAAAACAATTTTTTTCTTAAAACTGAATTTCTTGTGCGTGACATTTTGGCTCATTAACATCTCAAGTTCAAAGCCAGCCTCAGCAACTTGGCAAGATCCTAAACAACTTAGTAAGATCCTGTCTCAAAATAAAAAGGACTGGGGATGTGATTCAATGGTTAAATACCCTTGTGTTCAATCTATAGTTCAAAAAAAAACCTGAATTTCTTAGTAGTGGCCCATCTTTTATAGATATTCAGAAGAGCTTTTGTGTTTTCCAGTTCCTCATAAAGGTTGTTTCAAGGGAAGTTATCTTACCCATTTTACTATTTGAAATCCTATTCGCCACCCTTTGCCTTTCACTTATTAATCCCTGTCATTATGAAGTACTGTATGCAAAGTGCTTCAATGATATTAGCATGGTAGGCATGGTGGTACACACCAGTAATCCCAGTCATTCAGGGACTGAGGCAGGAGAATTACAAGTTAAAGGCTAGTCTGGGCAATTTTAATGAGACTCAGCCTCAGAATAAAATATGCAAATCCTTGGCATATAGCTCAGTAGCAGCCACCCTGGGTTCAATCTCCAGTACCATAAATTCATAAATGTATACATAAAACAACAACCTTGTGATGATGGTAGGTAGGTACCATGGTTTTCCAAGGTTAGAATACTAATCCTTGGTGTGTCTGTCTTCATCATCTGTTCTTTTAATGACTGTTAGTTGTGCATGTTGTAAAATACTTTGTTTTGTCCTTTTTGTTTGTTAATTATTTCCTGGTCAGCTGTTGAAAATCTACATTTGGCCAAGAAAGGAACACATAGATGGTGTTTTTTCTGTTGCTCCCTCTCTGTTTTCTTTGGATCCACTCAGACCACCAGAGGGAGTGCTGACACCATTTTTTTCCCCCACATAGCTGACTGCCTTTGGGTAGAGCATCATTTCTTACAGGGCTCCACAAATTAAAGTCTCAGATAGTTTTTTACCATCCTCACACAACTTTTACATTTTTTTAAGCATTAGAAAAAAAGGCAAGGGGAAGGAGAGCATGAGGAGAATGAAGAACCAGTTTACAAGCCCTTAACCTAAAATTGAAGAGTTTGAGCAGGATATTGGACTGCAACATAGATCCCCTTTAGACTAGGTTTGCATTTTCCACAGTTAACTGGGATTACAATCCTCTTGTTTGATTTTGCTATCTTCAAGAAGTGGGAAGCATTTAAACAAATTTTTAACTTCCTCACTTCAGGAAAGAAATCCAGGTAGATACATAATAGCTATTTTGGTTTAGATATGTGGTAACCCCTAAAGAGCATGCAAGAATTTTCAGCAAAACAATAAGTGAACAAGAGGCAGAAATTGGATGTAAAGCCAGGCATGTAAGTGCAGACTTGAAATCCCAGTGACTTGGGGGTGGGCGGGGTGGGGGGGCTGAAGCAGGAGGATCACAAGTTCTAGGCCAACCTCAGCAACTTAGACCCAGTATTAAAATTAAAAAAAAAAAAAAAGGATTGGGGATACAGCTCAGAGGTAGAGTACCCCTGGGTTTGAATTTCTGTACCATAAAAAGCAAAAAGGGAATTTATATAGAGAACTGTGAATGTAGCACGGATAGAAGGGGGAATTAATTGTACCAGAATTCATAAAGCTATAGTTGATTAATTTTCATTGTTCAATATATTGTATTTCATTATATGAGTACATCTCAAAATTGTACAAATTGTCATTTGTGTTATTACCAGATTTTGGTTATTATGCACGATGCTACCAAAAACCATTCATATATATCTTTTGATGCACACAAAAATGTATTTCTGTTGGTACAAAATTAGGAGTGGAATTACTTGTTCATAGGAATATCTGGATACAGATATATCTTTATTAGGTACTGCCAATTTTTCAAAGTGAGTATACCAAATTAAGTTCCCACCAGCAGTTCATGATTTCCAGTTGTTCCATATCCTTGTCAACATTTTGTCAGAATTTTTAAGTTTAGCATTTCTGATGTTCTGTGATGTCTCGTGGCTTTATTTTGAACTTTCCTACATACCAATGATCTTGTGCATTTCTTTATTTTTTTATTGTCCTTTGGTCATTATCTTGTGAAGTACCTAGTGGTTTTTTTTTTTTTTTTTTTTTTGTCTCTTTTCTTGTTGTTTGTCCTTTTTTTATAGTATTCTTTTTCTATTTTATTTTAACTCAGAGGCACGCAGCCACTGAGCCACATTCCCAGTCCTATTTCGTATTTTATTTAGAGACGGGCTCTCACTGACTTGCTTAGTATCTTGCAGTTGCTGAGACTTTGAACTTGAGATTTTCCTGTCTCAGCCTCCTTAGACACTGGGATTGCAGGTGCATGCCACCATGCCTAGCTGCATGCATTCTTCTGGTTGCAGAAATTTTAATGGTTGTATATGTTGCATGTATTATCTCCCACTCTGTGGCTTTTAGCTCTTGGTGTCTTTTGATTAAAATAATTTTGATATTAATGTAGCCCACTTTATAGTCTTTTTTAAAAAAATATTCTTAGTTGTAGATGGACACAATATCTTTATTTTGTTTATTTAGGTTTTGTTTTTTTATGTGGTGCTCGGGATCGAACATGCATGCTAGGCAAGCACTCTACCACTGAGCCACAACCCCAGCCACTTGTCTTTTGCTTCATGATTAGTGCTTATCTTGTCATGTTGAAGAAATTATTGCTCAAGGTCATGAAGATATTCTGGGTTTTCATTTTGAAATTTCACTTTTTGCTTTTCACGTTTAATTGATTGACCCCGCATGAAAACACTTTCCTTTTCCCAGTGCTCTACACTGCCATCTTTATCGTAAGTCTAAAGTCTTTGTTCTTTTTTTGAGTTCTTTTATCTATTCCATTAGCCAATTTGTCTACTGTACCAATACAATAAGTTTTGATTTCCAATATCATAAATTCTCCAGTTTTTTACTTTTTCAAGATTGTCTTGACTAATGTTGGTCCTTTACATTTCCATATAAATTTTAGGATTGGTTTCACAACAGCACACTCAAATATCTAGAGATTTTGATAAGGTTTATGATGATTAGATAATGTGGGGAGAATTGAGATTCTGGTGTTGATGTCTGCTGATATATTTGTGTGTGTGTGTGTGTGTGTGTGTGTGTGTGTGTGAGAGAGAGAGAGACTGGGGATTGGAGATTTGAACCCAGGTGTGCTGTACCACTGAGCTCACTAAATTGCCTAGGCTGACCTCGAACTTGTGATCCTTCTTGCTCAGTCTCCCAAGTCACTAGAGTTTTAGGTGTATGCTGCTATGCCTGGCTTGGTTTTCTTAATTTCTACATAAAGGGCTTCCACATCTTCCAACAGACTTATTCTTAGGCTTTTGATGATTTTCAAGCTTTTGTAAATGTCATTTTAAAAATTAAATTCTTGCTGGGCATGGTGATGTACTCCTGTAATTCCAGAGGCTGGGTTGGCTGAGGCAGGAGGGTAGTAAATTCAAAGCCATCCTCAGCAAAAGCAGGGCACTAGGCAACTAAATGAGACCTTGTGTCTAAATAAAATACAAAAAATAGAGCTGTGGCTGTGGCTTCGTGGTTGAGTGCCCCTGAATTCAATTCCTGGAACTCAAAAACAACAAAAACATTTCTTTCTCTGGTGGTCTAGTGCTTCAAATTTTTAAATTACTTTTTTTTTTTTTTTTTTTTGGTCCAGGGGACTGAATCCAGGGGTTCTTTGCCACTGAGCTACATCCCCAACCCTTTTTATTTTGAAATTGGATCTCGCTAAGTTGCTTAGGGTCTCACTGAATTGCTGAGGCTGGCCTTGAACTTGAAATTCTCCTGCCAAGCAGCTGGAATTACAGGCAAAAATTGCATTCTTTATTTTATTTATTTATAAGCAGTGTTGAGGATCAAACGAACCCTGTGCCTCACACATTCTAGGCAAGTGCTCCACCACTGAGCCACATCCCCAGCCCCAAAATTGTGTTCTTTATTATTTCTTGCTGGTATCTAGAAACAAATTGATGTTACTGTATCATCTCTGCATCCAATGATCTTTTTTTTTTTTTTTTTGAGAAATAAATGTTTATTTTGGCTCATCCAATGATCTTGATAAATTAAGTTACTCTAATAATTTTTCTGTAGATTTTTAGATATTTCTTTTATACACAACTGTGTTATCTGTGAATGGTGATATTTATTTTGAATTCTTACAACTCTTTATTTATTTTTCTTGCCTGATCACACTTTGGTACAATGCTGAATAGAAATGGTGATGATCTTTGCCCTGTTCAACATTAAGTAGGATTGCTGTAAATTCCACTTGCTGGGTAAAGAAAGATCCATCTATTCCTAGTTTGCTGAGAGTGTTTTTTTAATCTTAAGTTTTTAAAAAAGTTGAAAAAAAGTCTTAAATTTTGTCAAATGCTTTCTGTACATATAGATAGAATTAATTTTGCAATATTTTGTTACTATTTGAATTATATTTATTGATTTCAAATTTAAATCAACCATGCATTGTCAGAATGATCTGGATTTGATCATGATTGTTTTTATATGTAGGTAGAATTTTGCTTAGGACTTCTATATATTCTTGAGAGAGAGTGGCCTTTCATTTTATTCTC